TACAATCTCAGCACTTTGGGAGGTCGAGGTGAGAGGATTGCCTGAACCCATGGGTTCTAGACCAGCTTGGGCAACTTGGGGAGACCTCATCTCTACAATAAATCAAGAAAAATTAGCCGGGTGTGATGGGCCTGTGGTTCCAGCAACATGGAAGGCTGAGGCGAAAGGATTGCCTGAGCCCAGCAGGCAATTTGAGATCAGCCTGAGTAACATAGCGAGACTTCATCTCTACAAAACATTAGCTGGGCATGGTGGCATGTGCTTGTAGTCTCAGCTACTTAGGAGGCTGTGATTGGGCCATTGCACTCCAGCCTGGGTGACAGAGTGAGACTCTGACTTAAAAAACAAACAAAGCAAAACCAAAAAACAGAAATGAGTTACACTGACAGGGAAAGACATAATAAGTGAAAAAAAAGAGGCTAAGGAATAGTATATTCTTACTTAAAATAAAACACACACACACACACACACACACACACACACACACACCCTCCCTAAATGCATAGAAGAAAGTATAGGCTGGGCTCAGTGGCTCAGCCTGTAATCCCAGCACTTTGGGAGGCCGAGGCGAGTGGACTGCCTGAGCCCACAGAATTGAGACCAGCCCGGGTAACTCGGCGAGACCTCGTCTCTACAATAAAATAAAAACTAGCTGGGCGTGGTAGTGCACACCTGTAGTTCTGGCTACTCGGAAAGCTGAGGCGGAAGGATTGCCAGAGCCCAGCAGGTCTACGCTGGGGTGGCCACGAGGATACCACTGCACTCCAGCCTGGGCGAAGGATGAGACTCCAACTCAAAAAAAAAAAGAAGCAAGTATAGAAACATGTCAAAAGGTTAACAACAGTTATTTCTTAGTGAAATCAGCAGTGGCTTTTGTTTGCTTTTTACTTTTCTGTATTGTTTGCTTTTTTAACAATAAACAAATACTTTCATAATTGGGAAAAAAACAACAAAACTATTTCTTTTTCTTTTTTTTTTGAATTGGAGGCTCATTCACGCAGCCTCAACCTCCTGGGCTCCAGCGATCCTTCCACCTCAGCCTTCCAAGTAGCTGGAACTGTAGGCGCGTATTACTACGCCCGGCTAATTTTTGATTTAGTGTAGAAACGAGGTCTCACCAAGTTGCCCAGGCTGGTATCGAACCCATGGGCTCAGGCAATCCACTCGCCTTAGCCTCCCAAAGTGCTGGGATTACAGGCTAAGCCACCAAGCCCAGTCAACAAAACTATTTCTAAGGTAGAGAAAGAAAAAAATTCAAAGCTGGTTTTGACATGATATCCTCAAAAGAAGTATCCCACAGTGTCTGGAGCTGCAAAGGTGTCACTTGGACATGAACTGGCCCCAGAGCAGTATGCGGAGGGTGCCAAAAGTCTGCTTTCTACATCTCAGGAGTCCTTACACAGTCTTAAAAAGGCTGGACTAATGCACAACCCCAGTTTGCTGGCTCTCCTATTCAAATTCCATTCACACTGACTAAGCAGCCAGAATAATAGCTAATAATAGCACCTATATATAGTACCTATTTACTATGTAAAGGCACAGGATCTAATTACTTAACATATACTCATTTAATCCGCTTGGGTAGAGATTGGCTCCATTTTATCAATGAAGATGAGGCATAGAAGAGGCTAACTAACATGCCCCCGTTCCTACAGACAGGAGGAGGCAGAGCTTTGGTTTGAACCTAGGTGTTCTGGCTTCCAGCATCTATGCCCTTAACCATTATGCTATACCTCACAAGGATGCAATGGTCAAATCTGAAAGCCCTTGGAGGACAAGCAACTAACTGTACCTGAGTGTCCTCATCCTACCTAAAGTATCAACCCAAACTCTGAAGGCAAGAGAGGAGGAACCGGCATTATAGCTGACAACATTTATAGGGTGATCACTCTGGGCCAAGTCCCATGCTGAGATTTAGATGGAAGGCTTCAATTCATCCTCACTTCGGAGGTGGCTACTATCATCCCTATTTTACAGATGTGGGAACTGAGGTTCAAAGGTGATATAGCTTGCTCAAGGTCACAGAGAATATTAGTAGCAGAGGTGAACTGAAACCCAGGCAGTTTGGCTTCAATAAAGCCTGCACTATTAACCTCTGGGGCCTCTAGTGAGGGACTCAGACTGTGGGGTTCTGGTATAGGAAGCAGGGGCTGGCTCCCACCTCGTCCACGAGACTTGGCTCCTGGTTTCACGATCCAGATGTTGCGATCCCCTTCCATGTCGATCTGTGGTATCACGGCACGCAGTTGCTGCAGAATGTCCTCACAGCGCTGGACCTGAGTGTCCAGGTAACTGAGCTCTGCCCCCTCGCTGTAGGGAGATGATGGGACTTGGGCAGGGCTGGGCCTGGGGGCAGGTGGGTGGACATGGCAGGGGAGACATAGGCCTCCTGGCAGTGGTCCAACTAGCCTACATCACACCCTCTCCCTAGAGACCCAGATCTCTAGGTCTTTCCCAAACCTCTGTACCCACCCTCAAGCCACCCCCCAAATCCTGACCTTCCCAGACTACAAGAATGGAAGAGGTTGAGAAAATTCCATTTACTGCACCTGCCCTCCTACACTCCACCTCTGCACCTCCCTCCCTATTACATTAAAACTGTCTGTGGCAGAATTTAATCACCCTAGCTCCTGATGACGGGGCACCACTATGTGCCAGGCACTGTGCCAAGGACTTTTCACATATGGTCACTACTCCTCTTAATGGCCCTGCCATGGAAGTATTACTGGTCCCGTTTTAGAGAAATGCAAACTGAAGCTTGGAGAACGAAGGGACTCGCTCACTCAAGGCCACACACTGAGTTGGGTGGCTCAGGATTCAAGTTCTGTCCTACCTGACTCCCACTCACAGGTGCTTCTTGGGGGCTCATTCCCCTCCTCATCTGTGCCTGACACAGGCACTAGGTGGGTCCCTGCCTAGTCTAGCTCTTTTCAAGCACAGCTGTAACACTTCTCCTTGCTTTGTCCTCTTCCTGTCACTTCCTCCACCCTCACATGCTTCCTTGGTTCCCATCTGTCTCCCTCAGTAGAATGAAAGCTCCCTAGGAGCAGGAACACCTTTGTAGTTGTTCTCTGCTGCATTCCCAGCCCCAAGCTCCATATGTAGCATTTATCAGGCGCTCCCTCGGTACATTTAGTGAATGAATGGTTGGCTAAGTAAGTACTTTGGCAGGAGCTTGCCTCAGCAACTGGGCTATAACAGACAGGGGTTCGTGGACAAAGACGGACTCTGTTTTCTACAGGACAGAAAATTTCCTGCACGAAATCAAGTCACAAAATACCCCGGCTGGCTGCCTCATCCAAACTCTCCCATTTCTTTTCTTCTGACTGAACAGGAAGGCAGTCTCCACTAGATGCTAACCTCTCTTTAACATCTTAGTCTCTCAAATGTCTCCAGCTGTGGAGAACTTATCTCTCATAATAAGGCAGCAGCAGCCACTGGGGCAGTACCAGGAACAGAGAGAGCCTGAAGGAGGGGGCTCGGCAGTCTCCCAAGAATATTTACACCTAAGACCTGACAACTTTTCTGTGGTCTGTAGCACAAAGTATATGCTCAGTAAATCTGTGATGTGGCCCAGGAAAGTGTCACATGGGGGTGGCAGGAACACATGTAATTGCAAAAAGTATATTCACCATGATTTTCTATTTAGCAAAAAGGAAAAAAACCTCTAGAGTATGTTTGTGGAAAGTCAACCTTGATGAGAGCCTGGCAGGCCCGGCGTGGTGGCTCAGCCTGTAATCCCAGCACTTTGGGAGACGCCAAGGCAAGTGGAGCCCAGCAGGCCTTGAGTGTGCCACTGTACTCCAGTCTGGGCGACAGAGACTGCACCCCCACCCCCCAAATCCTGGCTAGTGAGGTATGGGCTTGTTAAAAAACAAGTTGAGCTCACGCCTATAATCCCAGCACTTTGGGAGGCCAAGATGAGAGGATTGCCTGAGCCCAAGGGTTCGAGACCAGCCTGGGCAACTTGGTGAGACCTCATCTCTACAATAAATCAAAAAATTAGCCAGGCGTGGTGGCGCATGCCTGTAGTTCCAGCTACTTGGAAGGCTGAAGCAGAAGGATCGCCTGAGCCTAGCAGGTCAAGGCTGCAGTGGCCAGGAGCGTGCCACTGTCCTCTAGCCTGGGTGACAGAGTAAGATTCCAACTCAAAAAAAAAAAAAAAAAAGCTGAGAACTATAGCAGGAAATGTTGAAGGAATGAATAAATATTAGTTATCTGTACTGAACCACTCAACATTGTGTATGTCTGTTACGATTTTACATAATTTCAATTTTGGAGAGGTTCCTGCAGCCCTCTAGAACTTGTCCTCACACCAGAAATAAAAAGGTCTCATGTGCTTGAAACTTCATGTTCTAAACCACCCTTGATAATTTTTAATTTAAGAAGGGAGCTCTACACTTTATGGTAGTGCCCAAGCTGGAGTACAGTGGCATGATCTCAGCTTACTGCAGCCTCAAACTCCTGGGCTCAAGCGATCCTCCTGCCTCTGCCTCCTAAGTAGCTGGAACTACAGGCACTTGCCGCCATGCCCAGCTAATTTTTCTATTTCTTGTAGAGTCAGGGTCTTGATTTGTTGCCCAGGCTGGTCTTGAACTCCTGGCCTCAAGTGATCCCACCCTTCCAAAGTGCTGGGACTATAGATATGAGCCACTGAGCCTGGTGTAGTTGCCATTTTCTAACATTTAGAAAAGGTACAGCCGGGCGTGGTAGCTCACATCTATAATCCCAGCACTTTGGGGAGGCTGAGGTGAGAGGACTGCCTGAGCCCACGGGTTCAAGACCAGCCTAGGCAACATAGCGAAACCTTGTCGCTACAATAAATAAAAAAATTAGCCGGGCATAGTGGCGCGTGCCTATAGTTCCAGCTACTTGGAAGGCTGAGGTGGAAGGATTACCTCAGTTCAGTAGTTCAAGGCTGTGGTGGCCGTGAGCATTCCACTGCACTCCAGTATGAGCAACACAGTGAGATTCCAACTCAAAAAAAAAAGGTACAGATGAATTATTTGCTTATGATGTGGGTTTGTTGCCCATGTCATTCATTCCAAGTTAATTCACAGGTGCAGTGGCTCTTGCCTGTAATCCCAGCACTTTGGGAGGCTGAGGCAAGAAAATTGGCCGAGTCCAGGGGCTCAAGACCAGCCTGGACAACTTGGTGAGGCCCTGTCTCTATAGTAAATCAAAAAATTAGCTGGGCATGGTGGCACGCACCTATAGTTCCAGCTACTTGGAAGGCTGAGGCAGGATTGCCTGAGCCCAGCAAGTCGAGGTTATGATGGCTGTGAGCATGCCACTGCACTCCAGCCTAGGTGACATAGTGAGACTCTGACTCCAAAAAAACAAAGTTCATTCATTAGTTCTTCAGTTTCCCCTATTGGGCAATAAATCTATCTATTCCCTTTTTTTTCACTAACACCCCAGCTGAGACCTTTAGCACTCCCACCTGGTTTGTTGCAAGCCTCCCACCTTGAACTGTATCCCCCTTGAGAGCATCAGCTATGCTTTATTTCAGGAGGCTGGCACAATGATGGCACATAGGAGGTGCTTAACTAATGTTTGCTGAGTGTTCTGCCTTCAGGGCCCTTCTGTCTCTAGACCCTCCTGCATGCTTCTGCTAAATGGAATCCTCCCTAACACAGTATCAGTCTCATTCTGATCCTCTCTTCCCCCTCTCTGACAAGAATGTTTTCCCAAAATGTGTTCTGAAAACACGACCTCCAGGAGGCTTGGTGGGAGGGAGGGAACCGGGGTCACATAAGCACAGGATATGCTCACATCCTATTTCCCTTGGAGGTTGATACCACCAATAGGTGCTGGAAAGTTCTACATCAGGGAAGCCTGTTTAGCTAATTTTGTTTAACTCAATGTTTTCCAAATTTGACCAACCACAACCATCCTTTTTAATTAATTTTTTTTTTTTTTTTGAGTTGGAGTCTTACTCTGTCGCCCAGACTGGAGTGCAGTGGCCGCTCCCGGCCACCGCAGCCTCGACCTGCTGGGCTCAGGCGATCCTTCCACCTCAGCCTTCCAAGTAGCTGGAACTACAGGCACGCGCTACCACGCCCGGCCGATTTTTTGATTTATTGTAGAGATGAGGTCTCGCTGCCCAGGCGGGTCTCGAACCCACGGGGTCAGGCAATCCACTCACCTCAGCCTCCCAAAGGCGTGGGATTACAGGCTGAGCCACCGAGCCCGGCTTATTTTTTTATTTTTTATATTTTTTTTTGTTTTTTGAGTTGGAGTCTCACTCTGTCACCCAGACTGGAGTGCAGTGGCCGCTCCCGGCCACCGCAGCCTCGACCCGCTGGGCTCTTGCGATCCTTCTGCCTCAGCCTTCCAAGTAGCCAGAATTACAGGCATGCACTACCACGCCCGGCTGATTTTTTGATTTATTGTAGAGATGAGGTCTCGCTGCCCAGACGGGTCTCGAACCCGCGGGCTCAGGCAATCCACTCACCTCAGCCTTCCAAAGGCGCAGGATTATAGGCTGAGCCACCGAGCCCAGCTAAAGCTCCTTTTTTATAAGATCTGTTTACTTCCTGTAGAATTAGCATCCTGTGCAACACGCTTTGGGAAATGGTCTCCAGAATAAAAGCTATATGACTTAGATTCCTAATTTGTGAGTGGATGCTTTGAACCTGTGCTGAGCACATAATACAAATTATCCTGTCTAATCCCTTCTTTGAGGCAGACATTATTTTATCTTTTATTTTATTATTTATTTATTTATTTATTTGGAGTTGGAGTTTCACTCCGTCACCCAGACTGGAGTGCAGTGGCCACTTTCAGCCACCGCAGCCTCGACCTGCTGGGTTCCGGCGATCCTTCTGCCTCAGCCTTCCAAGTAGCTGGAATTACAGGCATGCGCTACCACGCCCGGCTAATTTTTTCATTTATTGTAGAGATGAGGTCTCGCCAAGTTGCCTAGGTGGGTCTTGAACCCGCGGGCTCAGGCGATCCACTCACCTCAGCCTCCCAAAGGTGTGGGATTACAGGCTGAGCCACCGAGCCTGGCTTATTTTTTTATTTTTTTGAGTTGGAGTTTCACTCTGTTGCCCAGGCTGGAGTGCAGTAGCATGCTCACGGGCACCACAGCCACAACCTGCTGGGCTCAGGCGATCCTTCCGCCTCAGCCTTCCAAGTAGCTGGAACTACAGGCGCATGGTACCATGCCTGGCTCATTCTTTGATTTATTGTAGAGATAAGATCTCACCAAGTTGCCCAGGCTGATCTCGAACCCCTGGGTTCAGGCAATCCTCTCACCTTGGCCTCCCAAAGCGCTAGGATTACAGGCTTGAGGCACCGTGCCTGACAAGGCAGACGTTATTTTAAAATCTATTTTGCATATTTGAAAAGTAAATCTCAAAAAGATTCATAATGTTCCTAAGGTGAAAGATCTTGAGAGTTGCAAAGCCAGGCCTTGAATTGAGGTCTATTTGACAGCACGGCTATGCTCTTAGTGTCTATGCTATATCAAGAGCTGGGAAGAGTGGTTTGACCCTATCTTGGAGGCAGTGGGAGTCCTTGAGGATTCCTGATCAGGAGAAAGTACTAGGGTGAACAAAAGGGGGAGGCTTGGGGAAGATGTGGGGCTGTGCTAGACAGAGGTTTGTCCCTAAGCACCCTCCATGGTTGCAGGGGTACTCACTGGACCACTTGGTAGTAGTGCTGGAGGAAGAGGGACCAGCCCTTAGGGCTGAGGTACAGTGGGGCCTCCAGGTCCTTGTCAATGTCCATGTGGGCCAGGATGCTAAGGTGCTCCTCGCATGCACATAGAGCTTCATCTACGAACTCTGGTGACACCAACACTGGCTTTTTTTCCTGTTTCTTGGGCTCCTTGTCTCCTGCAGAGAGAGGGAGGAGTGTGTCATCCCACATCAAAGCAAATCACCTGACCCAAATCATAGCCCCCACTGTCTTGAGGCCTGTCACTTATCTAAGGCCTCACCCTAAAGACACCCGAGGCCCAGCACAAACCTAGACAGAACCCCTACTGCCCTTGGATTTGCCACTTAGTTGAGGCTTTGCTCTAAATTCACCTGCAACTCTAGCATTTGCCCTTGGCTCCCACTGCCCCAGGACTGTCATTCCCTTGTGGTTCTATCTAAATATCCCCAAAGCCTTGACAGCACCAAAAGCCCAGCACACATCTGTCACCTTTCTGCCTTTGGGACCTCTAACACATTTGAGACCCTGCCTAAAATACCCCTGGGATCCTTGGCCTAGGTAAATCCAGTTATATACAAATCCCCCTTCCCTCAATCTGACACAGCTTCTTAAGTCCACACACCAGAAATCCAGACCACTTCCAAGAACCCTGACATACATCTAACCTCCTTAGCCCCTTGAAGTGCTAACACACATGTGCAATGCTTTCATGCAAGACCCTGACACACACCTCAGAGTGATATATCAGAAACTGACTCAGAAGACACAACACTTACTCTCTCCTGAACATCTGCAATGCCCTGAAGATCCCGATGGACAACCGAGGCCCTCAAACCCCTGCACCCTGACCTACACCATGGGAGCTTAAGCACAGGTCTCTTGGTCACATCCAAGGCCCTTGTGCCTCTGACCCTGGCAAACAACAGAGTCTTCCTTGCATATGGCACACTCAAGCAACAGCAATGGGGAGGTCTCCCTCTGGAAGAGGCAGGGATTTTCCTCCTTCCTGTATAGCTGCCCCGTACTTCCTGGAATTCCTCACTGATGGGTCCCTGGATTACAGGACCAGGAGCTTGGAGGTAGGAGTTAAACCCAGAGAGGGAAAGGGCCAGCAATATGTTGGGCCAGCATGCAGTGATAGTGAAGGTTCCTGTGTCTCCCCTGTCTCCAGGGGTCCTCAGGCCACCTGTAAACTGCCTAGTTTCACTGCTTCCTCCTCCTCAGAGACCTGAGCGCCATATGGGCAGGGATGGACTGTGTCTTCTTAGTCTGTCCTCTCTAGGGTGTTCGGCCACATGCCAAGTCCATGGGAGGGCTGAATGAGTCAGTGGATCGATTAACAAATGAATAGGAAGACAGGTGTGTAGGTGATTTTGGACAGAAAAATGAATGAGTGGATGGACTGGAAGGTAGGTAGTCAACAGGAGGATGGAAAACTCAGGTGGGTAGATGGATCTGTGTGGGAGGATAGGTAGGAAGGTTGGGAGTGGATAGATGGAAAGGGAGTGTAGAGCAGATGTCAGAATGAGAAGATCAACAATGGGTAGATAGTTGGGGGGATGGATGAATAAAAGGAAGAGTGGGTGGGTGAATGGGCAGATAAGTAGGTAGATGGGTGAACAGATGAGTGGGAAATGGATGGATGGACAGATGGGTGGGTGGCTGAACGAACAGGCTGATGAGATGGGTGGTGAACAGGTAGACGGACGCAGATACCACATAGATAGGTTGATGAACAAGTAGACGAAGAGACAGGTGGAACGGCGGGAAGATAAATGGGTGGGGGACTGGAAGTAACCAAAGTCCTCACCTGAGTCCTCCTTGTCTTCTGCCTGGATAGGGAATGACTTCCATTCAGACTTCACCACCAGCTTGAGAACGTTGCGGGCAGCTGTCAGCCAGAAGTCCTCTGCTCCCGGGGCAGGGATACCCTGCTCAGCCCCTAGGCTCAAGGCCTGTTCTGGTTCCGGAACCTGATCATGACTTGCCCCAAGCTGGATCCAGAACCTGACTCTCCCTTTTCTGACTCTAGAATCTGGGTTAGAACTTGCTCCTATTTCAGCTATAGAACCAGGAGCAAAACCTGACCTGACTGGGCTCATATTCTGCCTTCAGAATCTGGCTTGGACCTGTTGTCTGATCTCTCTCTTCTGTTCCTGATCCACTTTGACATGTATTATAGCCTGAGATCCAGACCTTGGCCCGAAACCTATTTCAGATTTGCAATATAATTTAAACCTAGTATCTAATCTGGAATCAAATTCTGAGCTCAATTGAGAACATACTGTGGAGTTGGGCCCTATTCTGCCTTAGAAACCCAAAGCCCACAGCCTGTTTAGAATCCTGGTCCAACCAATGGAACATGACATGGGTCTGGAACCTATTCTGGATTTTAAACTTTTAGAATATGCTCTTGACTATAAGCTAAGCTACCTAAGCTTTTCTGGAGATCAGGGTTGACCAGCTAGGAGGCTCATTAAGGGAGGGCATGTTAGGGAAAGATAAGGATTAGGGACAGAGAAGGAAATCTGCTGGGATAGGTGAGAACATGAGGAGAAGCCCGCTGCTCTCCAAGATGAGCCAGAGCTTTAGCTCTGGTCCTTCAGCCTGAGGGGTCCAGGCATGGGGCTGGGGGGTCTCCTTACCTATGAAGGCTTTTTTGTCATCCTCAGCCCCCAGGCGGTAGCAGCGTGGGAAAAAGGAATCAGCATCAGCCTCATCAAACCATGGCAAATTCCGGAGACTGAGACATAGACCCACCTATGGAGTTGGTCACATGGTGGAACTGCAGCGCTCCAAGGGACTGCCCCACACTCAGCACACATCAGACAGCTCGGGAAGACCCTGCTTGAACACTCTCAGAACCCCACCTGCCATGTCTGACTTGCTCATGTCTCTCTCCAAATGTTTGCCCAGGCAGTCCCCTCTGCTGAGAATGTTCCACATCCCTCCTGTTTACCCTTTCACATTCTTTTTTTTTTTTTTTTTGAGTTGGAGTCTCACTCTGCCCAGGCTGGAGTGCAGTGGCGCACTCATGGCCACCACAGCCTTGACCTCCTGGGCTCAGGAGATCCTTCTGCTTCAGTCTTCCAAGACTACAGGCGCACGCCACCATGGCCGGTTAATTTTTTGATTTATTGTAGAGACGAGGTCTCACCAAGTTGCCCAGGCTGGTCTCGAACCCCTAGACTCAGGCAATCCTCTTGCCTCAGCCTTCTAAAGTGCTGGGATTGCATGCTTGAGCCACCGCACCCAGCCCCTTTCACATTCTTAAGGAGCTGACTCCTCTAAGAATCCTTCCCAGCCCACTCCAATAATATAAGCAGATCATAATTAGAAAGCCCTTCATCCTTGCCACAACACCAGAATACAGGCCTTACTGGTATTTCTTTTTAAATATGTGGAAACGGCGGCTCAGAGAGGTGAAATCACTTGCTAAGTAACCCAGTAAGACATAGTTCCTGAAGCCAGATCCTCTGTTTGGGAGGTAAGGGCCCTCTTCCTCACTGCCATTGGAGGTGGTGTTTGTTCTGGCTTCAGATCCCATTTGAATCCTGGAACCCATTTTAGTCATTATGTCTGCACATGCCCGATACCACGCAGGGGTTGGATTTGAAGCCAGGTCTGTCAGTCTCCAAATCCTACTGAATTATATACCTCCCACTCTTCTAAGAACCCCTTCTGACTGACAAGAGCAGGTAGCAGGCTACCAGCCCAAGGGTTGGGGGCTGAGAAGCTTCCCTGCCTGCTCCTCTGGGAAGCCCACCTTTGTGGTAAAGGAGCCAGCCCGGGCATAGTGGTTTATCATCTGATCCTTAGAGAGGAAACGACAGTCTAGCACATCCCGCCGAGTTGTCCAGATGAAGTAGGGAGTCTCATTCCGAACCAGGCGGGACTGGGGAAAGGAGACAGAAACAGAAATTGATGTGGACAGCGTGGCCTGGGGTAGCTTCTTCTCCCCATCCTGCTGAGCAGGATAAGTGAATAAGAAAGACAGGATGCCTCCAAGGCCTCCAGCCCGCAGGCCCTCTTTGTGTGAGGCAAGGAGACACCTCTTCCTTCAGGGCACATGCTTGGTGAGCAAGAGCAGGCCAGCCTTTCTCCCTCCTTTTGGCTGGGTGTCCCTTAGCAGCGACACAGATGCACAACTGAACGCACACTTTGGTCTGTGGCCATCAGTGACTTGGCCAATGACAAGACAGTAACTCCAAGCTGATGGGAGCATGTGACAAAGGCTCTCTTCATGAACGCCATCTCTCTTTATCCTTCCTACAACTCTGTGAGGCAGGATGCTGGGCCTGTTCTAATGTCAACTCACTCAATCCTCACAACTCTACAGATAGGGGCTACTGTCATCTCCATTTCACAGAAGAGGAAACTGAGGCACAGGGAGAGTAAGTGACTTGCCCAAGGGTTCACATGTTTGAGCCATATGAAATTGCCAGTATTCAACTTTTCCTGACATAAAGAAATGGCAATTTTATATGGTTCAACTTACTTAGTAGTGGTGGTGCCACAATGCAAACCCAAGTGCCCTCAGCTAAACATGCACGTCCTCCACACCATCATCCCAGCTTTTCAGAACTTTTTAAGTCCTTCCCTCCAAGCTTCACATGTCAAGGGCAGAAGGAGGAGATCACCCACGGGGCTATTATTTGAAAGGGGTAATTACCATGCATGGAGGCTGTGCCAGCATCTCATACAACCCAGGAGAGTTCTGAATCCCCAGCCAACCTTGTCTGAGCCCTGCTGAGTCCCTCACCACTCTGTGGACCTACCCAGCCTTTATTTATTTATTCTTTTAGAGACAGATTCTCACTCTGTCACCCAGGCTGGAGTGCAGTGGTGTGATCACAGCTCAGTGCAGTCTTAAACTCTGGAACTCAGGTGATCCTCCTGCCTCAGCCTCCTGAGTAGTTGGGATTACAGGTGTGAGCCACCCCATACTTGGCTCTATCCAGCCTTTAGTGAAGCAGTCCTTACTATAAATGGGGAAACTGAGGCCTACAAAAAGAAAAGGACTTGTCTGAGGTCACCTAGCTGTACACTAGTACCCTCCCTCTAACTAAGCAGCCCCTGCCAGCCACTGCTTCATCTTGGCTCCCAGAGTCCTCACCATCAGAGCATGTGTCCCATCTAGGTCATCGAATTCCAGGAAATCATCAAAGCTGAACAGCTGTGGTTGCCGGAACTCTTCGTTTTCATCTTCATCCTCTGTGGATGCAGAGCCCAGGCCAGATGAGGCTCCTGTCCCTGCCCAATAGGCCCACAGGGCCTCAACCCTGGGACGGTGGGAACCAAAGCAAAGGGACCCAGGAGGGACAGCTTATGGAAAAGGAGTGAACTGCTCACCATCCTCAGTGGTGTCACTATCACCCATCACTGAGCTATCCAGATCCTTCTGGGGCGGCAGCAGGGTGGTGCCCACATGATGAACTAACTTCTTCTCTACCCAGCCCCTCTGGCGCAAGAGACATCGGATTACTGGGTAGCGGCCTTGGATTGTAAAGATCTTCTTCTGCTGTAAGGTGAGAGATGGATACTTGTTCAATAAGTATTACCTAACTAAGTGCCAGACATAGGTAGGAGATATAATGGTGAACCTGTCAGTTGTGGTCTCTGCCATCAGGAAATTTTTATATTATAGCAGGAGAGACAGATTATAAAGCAAGTAGAGAAATACATATGCATAGTAATGGCAATAATGGTAATGGCTAATATTTATTTAGGACCTACTATGTGCTAAGTACTTACATGTATTACTAATAATACTGTGCATTTTTATTAGATACTGCTATCCCCATTTTACTGGTTATAAAACAGGCATAAACAGGTTGAGTGGTTTGCCCAAGGTCACACAGTGGTTACGTGAAAGAGCAGAGATTTAAATCCAGGCAGGTCAGCTCCAGAAACCACATATTTAATGGGAACCCAGAGCAGCTACTTAGAAACACATGGTCAGGGAAGCCTGTAAAGCAGTCATGAATGTACAGGGCTGGGCCAACGGCAGTTCAGGCAGAGGGGAAAGCGTGTGCAAAGGCCTTGCAGCTGGACACAGGTTGAAGTAATTGGAGGGAGGCCAGGGTGAGTGGAGTGTGGAAAATGAGGTGGGGAGCTCCTGAGAAGGCAGGCAATGGCTAGACTGTGTGCCCTGCAGGCCTTGGAATGGACCTGGATTTTATACTAAGAGTGGCATGAAGCAATAAAGCCTAAGTGAGAGGGTGACACGGTTGGAGGCTTGTGGAGTTTGGTGTGCTGCTGCTTGGCGAACAGGCAGAGGGCACAATAGCTTAGGAGGCTGTCATGGTTTGTACAGGAGAGAAATCGCAATGGCTGGAATGAGGTTGGTTACAGTAGAGATGGGGAGAAGGTGCTAGAGTTGAGGTTTGTGTTGGAGGCAAAGATGACCCCTGGTATTGCATGATGGGATTAGACCTGTGGGTGAAGAATAGAAATGCCAAATTTCTGGTGTGAGCAACTAAAAGATGGGGAAGACCAGAAACTGGGGAGGACTGCAGGTTTGGGCAGGAAAATCGGAGTATTATTTGGGACATACATTTGTTGTTGTTGTTTTTGAGTCAGAGTCTCACTCTGTCACCCAAGTTGGAGTACAGTGGCATGATCATGGCTACCGCAGCCTCCACCTGAGCCTCCTGAGTAGCGGGGACTATAGGTGCACACCACCATGCCCAGCTAATTTTTTTATTTATGGTAGAGACAAGGTCTCGCCGTGTTGCCCAGGTTGATCTTGAACATGAATTTGAAACGCTCTTAAGTTTTGTGAGCGATATGTTAAGTAGGAAGCTGGATGTATGAGTGTGGAGTTAGAGGCTGGGCTGGAAAGGGCATGCAGGGAATGTAGCATACTGACTAACCTCAGAGCCAAGGAGACGGTCAAAGGTGACAGGCGTGGGCAGGGATCCAAGGAATCACTAGTGCCTGAGGGACCTTCAAGGGCCACTAAAAAGCAGCAGCCAGGGAGGGAGAAAGGAAAACTAGGAGTGTGTAGTCAGATAGCCACGGGGAAGGGCATGTGGGCAGCAGTGTAGAATGGCACCAGGTGGCCAACCATGATTAGTACAGATAGGGAGCTGCTGGATTTGGAGGCCACCAGTGACCCTGATTAGAGTGGTTCCCCGTGGGGAAGGGCAAGGAACCAGAGTGGAGGGAGATGAGGAGCAAATCCCAGGTGACACGGGATAGTGACTAGACAAGAAGTCTGGCATTGGAGGGGGAGTGAAAAATGGGGAGGTGGTTGAAGATGGGCCTGGGGTCAAGTTTTTCTTTTGTTTTGTTTGTTAGAGTCAGAGTCTCACTCTGACACCCAGGCTGGAGTGTAATGGCACAATCATGGCTAGCTGCAGCTCTAACCTCCTGGGCTCAGGTGATCCTTCCGCCTCAGTTACCCAAGTAGCTAGGACTACAGGCGTGGGCCACCCTGCCCAGCTAATTAAAAAATCTTTTTGGTGCTCGCTTCGGGAGCACATATACAAAAATTGGAATGATACAGAGAAGATTAGCACGGCCCCTGCACAAGGGTGACACACAAATTCGTGAAGCATTCTATATTTTTTTGTACTCCATATCTTTATAACAAAAAAGAAAAGAAAAAAAATCTTTTTGTAGCAGGGAGGTCTCACGATGTTGCCCAGGGTAGTCTTGAACTCCTGCCTCAAGGGATTCTGTGGTCTCTGCCTCCCAAAGTGCTGGGATTACAGATGTGGGCCACAGCACCCAGTTTTGTTTTGTTTTTTAAGAATATGAGAAAATAGTGCTAGGAGGCAGGCCAGCAGCTCCCAGGGCCTTTCTAACCCTCCCTCCTCCAGCCCCCTCCGACCTTAACAGCTCTCTCCACGTGAATTTTGACGTTTCTGAGCCGGGTCATGTGGTGAGACGCCTTGGAGAATCCTCGCCAGAGGACAAGGGAACCTGCAGAAAGATGCAGAATAGAGGCGGGGTAGGCGAGGGCTTAGCCAGGGTCTCAGCCCAGGATCTTTTCCGGCCCTGATGCCCACGCCTCTTGTCTTCCTCCACCCTTCACCTGGATGCCCACCCTCTGCCGCTCTTCTCCTGACTTCCATCCCCTCCGTCCCAATGTTTTCTCGTTAGCGTAGCCGCCACCGGCCAGGGCGAGCCGGCAGCTTCAAGCCCACCATCCTGTGGCGAGGGAGGCGAGGGATCATCCAGGGCCGGGGTGTGCAGGAGGCTTAGGGGGCTCAGATCCGCGGCGCCCTGGGCGTGGGAGCCGTGGGCGAGACCGCTGGCCAGGAGTTTGCCGCCGGCGCGATCCTCCTCCGGCCCGGCGGAGGCGGGCCCGGCCCATGGCAGCCTCCCCGGCGACCGGAACTGGGAGTGGCGCGCCCAGGGCACCGGGAGAGGGAACGGGTGTGCAGCTGCGGCTTCCGCGGCCAACTGCCCGGGCTGCCCTCCTGGCGGTACCAGGCGGCCGAGCCCCGGCGCAAGGGCCCCCGCTCTCCCGCGACCAGGAGCAGGGTCGCGCCAGGGCCCTGCATGCGGCCCCCTAGCGCCGCCTCCCCACCCCGCGCCGCAGCCTCTCCTGAGAGGCCCCGCCCTCTGCTTGCTGTTGCCTTGGAAACCATTCCCTGGGCACAATCAGACCGCGTGTGGCGGGTTCCAGGGTGCTGTCTGGGCCCCAGATAGTCGAACGTGGGCTTCCTCCGGATTCGGGGCCTCATCTGCCCCAGACCACTGATGCGGGACACTGAAGGTGGAAGAGAGCACTAGACTGCCAGTTAATGGCTTTTTAGGTTTTTGGTTTTTGTTTGAGTTGGAGTCTCACTTTGTCGCCCAGGCTGGAGTGCAGTGGCACCCTCACAGCCACCGCAGCCTCGACCTGCTGGACCCAGAAGATCCTTCTGCCTTAGCCTTCCAAGCAGCTACCATGCCCGACTAATTTTTTGATTTATTGTAGAGAGAAGGTCTCGCCAAGTTGCCCAGGCTGGTCTGGAACCCCTGAGCTCAGGCAATCTTCTCACCTTCACCTCCCAAAGTGCTGGGATTACAGCACCGGCTAGCCAGTTAATGTTAGTGTTGGGTTCCTCAACCAGCAATTCCTGTGTGCCAGTGGCCCCAGGACTTAAGTCATTTCACAGCACTACAGGTGCTGACAAGTGGTCCCTGACTTTATTGAGCGTACAGCCCAGTGTAGGGAAAAGAGAAAGCAAGTGACAAAGGAATAAAATAGCTAAAGTGTATGTAGTAAGGGCAGTGAACAAGCAATGAGCTGCAACCAAGAAGGGGGCACACTTTAGATAAGGTGGAAATCAAGGATGTCCTCACCGAAGTTGTTGACACATTTAAGCTGAAGGTATAAACGCAAAGGAGTCAGGAATCACCAGGGGAGGAAAGAGTTTCTGTAAAAGCTCTGAGGAGGGTAAGAGCCCAGGAACTAAAAGGCAGCCAGTGCAGCTGGAGCCTGCTGAGGTCAAATGGATGGGCAGGGCCTGGCAGATGGTCACTGGGGATAGACTGGAAAGCTAGGGTATGGGGGCAACAATGATAAAGTGCAGAGCACACCCCTCCCCAATAACTTGTAAACAGAAAAATATCATCATGAGTCAATTGCAAAAGAAACATAATAGATCAGAAGTTACATTCATTCCCCAGGCCAAGACTGTAAGCCTTCAGAAGTACTGGCAAGGTATTATCCTCAAAAGTCACAGGGGAGATAAATAAGGCTTTGTTAAATGCTTTGCTTCCAATCACACAGCAGAGCATTGGTCTGACTCCAAAGCCTCTCTCTTAAACCTAACTCCACATTATCATTCAGAAGGGTTGTCTTTTGTCATGAAACTACCAAACGGGGGCAGTTTGAGAGGCAAACTCTAGCAGTGCCATTCAGGCAGAGATCAGGAAAGAGTACCCTTGTCCGAGAACCAAGCTGTGTTAGTCACCAGGTAGATCTGCTCCTTATAGGGAAGGTAGGTCCCCCACCTACCTGTCCAGCTGCTCCCAACCCCCATTTACCTGGACTTCCCAAAAAGCACACCCCCAGAAAAGGACTGGTTAACTGGCCACACCCAGTCTATTCTTCTTCAGTCTGCAAATCTGATTTTAGGGACTTTGGATCCCGAGAGACAGGTTCGTGACAAATGACGGTTGTAGCTGGCTCACCCAGGCAATGCTGTCCTGTGAAGGTTGTTGAATGACCAGTTGCCATATCCTAGCGATATCCCGTTTTACCGTGAACACCTGGCAAGGCTAGAATCCACCTGCAAAGCTAGAATATAGCCATATGCCCTAGAGGAGGGTACACCTAATTCAGTAAGGCAGAAGGGAGAGGTCACAGAGGTAATGTCATAAAGGGGATGACAGCTCTTCAAGCTGCCCTCACCCCACCTCCCTCTATTACCTTGTTCTCCCTTTCAAGAGACCCTTTTGGCCATCCAGAGGAATCACTTTTGAAAGCTCAGCTCAAACACCCTCTTGAAGTTTTTCCTGGCACCCCCCAGAACTATACCCCCCAGGCCTCTAGACTTCTAATATTAAATATGAAACATAAATATTTCAGTGCCCCCATTTTACGTATCTAGGTCTTTTACTGGACCCCTAAGTCTCTTCAAAGCAGGGAAAATGTCATCCCCACTGCCTAGCATGCTGGAAATTATCAAAGAGCCCAAGGTTGGGTGCAATAATTCACAACATAATTCCAGCACTTTGGGACACTGAGTGGGAGGACTGCTTGAGTCCAGGAGTTTGAGATAAGCCTGGGCAACATAGTGAAACCCTATTTCTAAAAAAATTTTAAAAATTAACCAGGTATGGTGGCACAGTTACTTGGGAGGCTGAGGCAGAAGGATCATTTGAGTCCAGGAGTTCAAGGATGCAGTGAGCCATGATTGCACTGCTACGCCCCAGGCTGGGCAATAGAGAGATCCCATCTTAAAAAAAAAAAAAAAGTAGGCCAGGCACGGTGGCTCAAGCCTATAATCCCAGCATTTTGGGAGACTGAGGCGAGAGGATTGCCTGAGCCTGTGGGTTTGAGACCAGCCTGGGCAACTTGACAAGACCTCGTCTCTTCAATAAATTAAAAAAAAAAAAAAAGTAACCAGGTGTGGTAGTGCATACCTGTAGTCCTGGCTACTTGGAAGGCCAAGGCGGAAGGATTGCCTGAGCCCAGCAGGTCGAGGCTGCAGTGGTTGTCAGCATACCACTGCACTCCAGCCTGGGTGACAGAGTGAGACTCCAACTCAAAAAAAAAAAAAAAAAAAAACCCAAGTCCAGAGACCAGATACTGGGATGGTGGAATAAACTATTTTCTTTTAGTGCCTGTGTGACAGGTGGCAGGGACTATGCCACATCAGGACTCAAACAGAAATTTTTTACTTCATGCCATTAAGGTTTCACACACAGGGTTATGGTGCTCATGTCTGTAATCCCAGCACTTTGGGAGGCTGAGGCAGAATGACTTGAGGCCAAGAGTTTGAGACCAGCCTAGGCAACACAGTGAGACCCCCACCTCTATAAAAAGAAATTTAGTGACAGACCAAGACCCTGTCTTAAAATAAAACTAGGCCAGGTGCAGTAGCTCATACCTATAATTCCAGCACTTTGGGAGGCCGAGGCAGGATGATTATTTGAGCCCAGAAGCTCAAGACCAGCCTGGGCAACATAGTGAGACCTCATCTCTACCAAAAAAAAAAAATCAAAAAATCAAAAATCAAAAAATTTAGCCAGGCTTGGTGGTATGTGCCTGTAGCCCCTAGTTACTCAAAAGGCCAAGAAATGAGGATCACTTGAGCCCAGAACAATGCTGTGGTGAGCTGTGATTGTGCCACTGCATTCCAGTCTGGGTGACAGAGTGAGACTGCAACGCAAAAAAATAAATATAAATAAATAAAAATGTAAAAAGCCCCAGTACTATCCAATAGGACTTTCTGCAATAATGGAAATGTTATGTGCTGTCAGCGATGGCAGTGACCAGTAGCTGTTGAGCACTGGAAATACTGCTAGTGGGACTAAGGAAATGGATTTTAAAGTGTACAGGGGGTATCAAAAAAACATATACACATTTATTTGAGTTGGAGTCTCACTCTGTCGCCCAGGCTGGAGTGCAGTGGCATGCTCACAGTCACCAAAGCCTCAACCTCCTGGGCTCAGGCAATCCTTCCACCTCAGCCTTCCAAGAAGCTAGAACTAGAGGCACATGCTACCATACCACCTGGCTTTTCTGATTTACTGTAGAGATGAGGTCTCATCAAGTTGCCCAGGCTGGTCTCGAACCCGAGTGTAGGCAATCCTCTCACCTCGGGCTCCCAAAGTGTGGAATTACAGGCTTGAGCCACCGCACCCGGCCACATATAAACATTTAAAGAGATGTTATCTATGTATTACTTTTCAAAGTTGAATTAAATTATGGTAGCAATGTGTAGTATGACGTCCATCAAACAGTGCTTCCACCATTTTGACCGTTCTGCCTGTTGCATGGTGACACTAGCATTCATTTGATTAATGCTATCTTTTGCGAACGTCATACTTAAAATGTGTATACATCTTTTTGGTACCCCTGTAATTAACTGTAATAATACTTTAAACTAAATAGCCACTTGTGGATAGTGATTACTGTTTTAACACAGGCAGATGTCTACCCTCTTGCTCATTCTCTGAGATTTGGGGCAAGATATTATATCTCACGTTTGGAACTTCAGTATTCTTATGCACAAAATGGGATCATTGTTTCACTGAGGTTACTTTTTAGCCCAAATGAGATCATTACGTGAAAAACACCAAAGCTCTGTATAGGCAGAGAGATCAGTTTCAGAAATGGATCGTGCTTGGACTGCAATGAAGGTCTCTGAGTTAAGGCCCTCAGTAGGGATAATGGTAGGACCAATCACGAGAATGCACCTAGTAGGGCACTCCAGGCCCAAGCAACAGCCATATGGTCCCGGGAGGAAAAAGCCCCACTTCCCCTCCTTTCACATATACACACAGAGCACAGACCTCATGCAGCCCCAAAGGGGCAAGAAGAGACTTTAATCAAGGGAGGGAGGACCCACCAGAATCAGAAAAGGGACAGCGAGCATGGGAGCAGAGGAGCCAGAGCAGGCAGGAGGAGAACCTGGCCGGGACGCTCTGGAGGAGGACTCACCTCTCCACCTCTAGCGCAGGCACTGCACTGATAGACAAGGCGAAACAGTGGCCCCTCTCTGCAGAGTGGACACCAAATGGCCCTTGCAGCCAGAGGCTGCCTGGCTTTTGGGCCCCAGTTCCTAAGCATGATAGGTGGTCACTGACTCAGCCCTTGTCCCCAGCCAGTGCTAGGTGGCCATCTTCAGGCAGAGCTCAGGAACTGGCAGAGTATTTTCACCACTTATGCTGGCCCCAAGAAGGCTTGGGAATAAAAGGGCAAGGGAGAGGAACTGGAGTCTGAAACCTCCCTCCCTCTCCACCTGGGATGGCATGGGAGAGGAAAAGTAGTCGCCTTCTGGCTCCAGGCCCGCCCAGACCCACAGCGACCAATAAGGTACAATCACTGGGACCAGTCACAGCCACTGGAGGTGGAGGTTGTTTGTTTTTTTTAAAAAAAGACAAAAAGGTTACAGTCTCCTACAAGCACAGAGTTTAAGTTTCAAGACATTAAAAAAAAAATCTGTCCCGGCCCAGGGGACTAAACATCAGAAGCCAGCCTGACCAGGCACATGTGGCCTTGGGGCAGGTCCACTGCTGCTTTCTTGCCCAGCTAGCAAGCATACCACCCACCTCCCGCATCTGATGCCCACCCTGACCCAGCTCCCCACTGCCGCCGCTGCTGCTCTGGGGAGTGACTCCAGGACGCCTTCGTAGAGACACGGGGGAGTCTGAGGGGGAAGGCCACGAGATCCAGCCAGGTGGTTTAAAACTGTCAAGAGAACCAAGAGGCAGTGCATGGTGGTTATTATTGTATCCCAGTGGGCCTCCTCTGGGGAGGTGGACTAATCTGAGAGCTGCCACTGTGCTCAGATATGAGGGGCAGAGTTGGGTCCCAGGACACCCTATGATCACACTCTAATTCAGCCAGCATTCAGAGGTGATCTATGGACACTGGCTGTAAACCTAGCACTAGATAAGACAGAACTATTAACAGTGATGAGGGCTTTGTCCCAGCTCCCCTGAACGGCATCATAGAGGCTGCTATAAAGCCCTATCAGTGTCTTCTTGGTGAACTGAGGTTGCTTTCTTTCAACATGGGGCTCACATGCAAGACGCTTGGGGACTCAGAGGGCCAAAAGGAGATGGACCCAGGATCTGGTACTTTTCACCAAGCTCTGGATAATCTGCCAACCCAGAGAGGTCCCTGAAGTGTTTTCTGCCCTCAAGTGTACCCAATGTTGCCTAGAACAGTCCTGGACATTCTATAGACCAAAGGTGGTGAACCAACGGGCCACACTGTGCTTAAAAGAATGTGAGTTAGTAGCCCAGCTTGAAAACATGGCGGATGCCACATACAAGTGGAGATCTGGGGATTGTTTTGTAAAGCTGAACAATGAAGCCACAACGGGCTGGAGCTGTGTGGCGGCAATCCTCTTCAGTCCACTCCACTCATGGGCACTACCCACCTGACCTCGGCATGCACCTCAGTTTGTGACCCCTGCCAGATGCTGTCGTACTAGTTTAGAAAATCAAGCTCCATGTTCTGGTCCCTCCACTTATTGGCTGAGACACCTGCAACAAGTGAGTTTGCTTCTAAAGTCCCAGTTTACTCATCTGTAAAATGGTGATACCTGACTAAAAGATTGTTTTGAATATTAAATGGGACATGTGAACATGCTTTTATAGCTGTGTAATGCTATCAACAGGTGCTATGTTTTACACACATGATCTCATTTAATGCTCTATCACTCTGAAAGGTAAGTAAATTAAAAAAATTTTTTTTTTGAGTTGAAGTCTCTCCCTATTGCTCAGGCTGGAGTGCACTGGCATACTCACGGCCACTGCAGCCTACACATGCTGGACTCAGGTGATCCTTCCGCCTCAACCTTCCAAGGAGTTAGAACTACAGGCATGCTAGCCACATCTGGTTAATTTTCTGACTTATTGCAGAGATGCGGTCTCGCCAAGTTGGCTAGGTTGGTCTCGAACCCGTAGGCTCAAGCAATCCTCTCACCTCGGCCTCCCAAAGTGCTGGGATTATAGGCGTAAGCCACCGCGCCCAGGCTTGATGTTTTCAAATTTTTAAATATATTTTGTAGAGACAAGGTTTTGCTATGTTGTCCAGGCAAGGCTCGAACTCCCACCTTGCCTCCCAAATTGCTGGGATTACAGGAGTGAGCCACTGCACCCAGCCAGAAAGGTAAATAACTAATAATTTCTCATTTCACAGCTGAAAAACTGAGGCTTAGCTGAAAGATTCAGTGACATGCCAGAGTAGAGACTGGAGTCTGGATTCATGACCAGGTGGTCTGCCTCCACAGCCTGAGTAAGCTGAACAATCATGCTGCCTGAGCACATAGCACAGCTATTTTGTACACTGGCCATCCTCAGTATAATTAAATCCCAGGGGAAGCGGGTGTAATTTCCATTTTTAGGAATCTGAGCTCCTTCTGGGCTACATCTGTATTCATTGGTAGAATGAATCTACCATCTAGGAATCATAGTCAACTCTGGGTAGAACATGTCAACAAACCAAAGACTGTTTGGAAAAAGGGAAATAAAAGGAAGCATGTCCTGAATATCTGAACAAGAACAACTATGTCATCAGTTCATCAATGTAAACAATTCCTCCTCTTCAGCAGGCTGCAGTCTTTTCTGTTAAAAAGGCACAATCAGTTTAAGAGGGATCTGGAGGACGTAAGACATCGAAGTGATGGAAACAGGCTTAGGAAATCATGACTTAAAGCTGAAAGAAAATAATGAATTCTGTTTGAGAAGTGGAATTATGCCATGATTAACTGTTCTATATTCCAAGAAAACTTACATGTGGACTTCACTTGCCTCACTTGGGGCTTGAACTAGATATAGGTAAGAACTCTGTGGACATTTTGAGATGAAAAATGAGTGTCTAAGTTCCTATGAGAGACTAAGGGGCATCCCAGGTACCCATATATGGAAACTGCCTTGCAGCTCTCAGAGTTGTAGGGGCCTCAGGAAATATAAATACACTGTTGGCACTCCTTTACCACCAGGTGCTAAGTTCTCAACATGATCCATGGCTCCTTTCACCTTTGGAAGGAAACCAGGAAGACCCCTACTCACATTCTTGAGGAACTCCTCAGCCACAATGCGAGCACGGGCATTGACCGACAGCTTCATCTCACTGATCTCCTTATCAATCTCCTCCATGAAGTGGATCACAAAGTCCACCAATTTGTGTTTGTACATCTGCTCTGTGTGGAAGTTTGTGATCAGGAAACTGATGTCATACCCCTAGGGAAAGAAGACCATAGGGAGGAGGAAGAGAAGAAACAGGAGAGAATTAGTACCCAGGAGCATGTAGCTGGCATATCCTCTGCTTCACTAATCCACATGCTTCCAGCTGGGTGTGGTCTTCTCCCAAGCTATACATCCTTCTTGTCAGCAGACCACCTGCTGGAGGAAGAGGGGATGGGAAGGGGTGTCTAGGTAGGATTCAAGCAACTAAACCCAGTTGAGTTTTGTGTATACCATACATCTCTGAAGACTATCTGTGGCACAAGCGGTTTTGCATTCAGAATGAGTCAAGGGAGTGAAATGATTTGAAATCTTGTTATAGAAGAATCGAATCCAGCAACAGGGAACATTGAGTCCAGAGAAGAGATGACATAAGAGAAGGGTGGGATTGAGGTCTTTTACTATTGGAGGGTTGTGTGAAGAGCAATTTTCTTTACTCTGGGTGGCCCCAGAGGTTAGATCTAGGACCAAGAGAGAAAATTTGGCTCAGGATGAGGAAGAACGTGGCCAACACATCTGATGTGTCTAATGATGGCACATGCTGCTCCATGTAGTAGCTGCTCCGCTACTGGGGATACTTTAAGGTGACCTGGCAGGGAGTGTGTGGAGAGGATTCAAGCACGAAGTCAGGCAACAATTGACTCAATGGTAACTGTGCCTTTGAGAGACTATGATTCACTTGGTGGTAAAGCTTACAAAAGATTTCTAATTCACTGTGCTCTTTCTTTTTCCTTTCTTTTTTATTTTGAGTCGGGGTCTCACTCTGTTCAGTGGCACGATCAGAGCTCACTGTAGCCTCATACTTCTGGATTCAAGGACCCTCCCATTTAAGTTTTCAGAGTAGCCATGACTACAGATGCACACCACCATGCCTGGCTAATTTTTAAAATTTTTTTGTAGAAACAAAGTCTCACTATGTTGCCCAGGCTTGTCTCAGACTCCTAGCCTCAAGCAATCCTCCTGCCTTGACCTCCCAAAGTGCTAAGATTACAGGCATGAGCCACTGCACCTGGCCCACTGTGCTCTTTCTGCTGCTAGACTGTAGGCGCTGGGAAGAAGAGCAATATGTCTCATTTTTTTAGGGTTGAGGTAGATCCAACTAAGCTTCTGATCCCCTTTGCTCCCACTCCAACTGAGAGCCAACTCTCAATTAGGCAATGAGTGCTCTATAGCTGGAGAAGCAGCAATCCCAGTCCTAGAAACAATCCCAGGCCACTCAGTGACAAGATCCTGTGTATTACGAACACATGGATAAGAGGGTCTCACCTCCACAGGTTTCCTTCGAAGGATAAAAAAGTTCTCTGCTCGCATCATCATGAAGCGCATGAACTTGTGACATAAAATCTTCTCAATCTCATCAGCCTAGTGAGAGCAAAGGATATACATGTTTCTGTAACACTGACACTCTAGACCAAAAATACACTGTAGCCTGGTCTTCTGACTCCAACTTCCCCAAGGCATGCTGGAGGCAGTGAAGTTTGGTATAGTGGGCCATCACAGCCTAAGCTTTGAGTTGTGGGGGATATGGCTGTCAAATGAGAGAAGGGTCTACATTAGGGATTTTTTTTTTTTTTTTTAAATCGGAGTCTCACTCTGTTGCCCAGGCTGGAGTGCAGTGGCCACCGCAGCTTCAACCTGCTGGGCTCAGGTGATCCTTCCTCCTCAGCCGTCCAAGTAGCTGGAACTACAGGCATGTGCTATCATGCTCAGCTAATTTTTTAATTTATTACAGAGACAAGTTCTCTCCAAGTTGCCCAGGCTGGTCTTGAACCTGTTGGTTCAAGCAGTCCTCTTGCCTCAGCCTCCCAAAGTGCTGGGATTAGAGGCATGAGCCACCGAGACCGGCAGGGCATCTCTAACTTAATGAGGCATCATTGTTGGCTTCCCCCTCACTTACTCCAGAGAGATTTGGACAAACCAGAGTCTTTTTTTTTTTTGAGTTGGAGTCTCACTCTGTCGCCCAGACTGGAGTGCAGTGACTGCTCCCGGCCACTGCAGCCTTGACCTGATGGACTCTGGCGGTCCTTCCACCTCGGTCTTCCAAGTAGCCGGAACTACAGGTGCGTGCTACCACGCCCGGCTAATTTTTATTTATTGTAGAGATGAGGTCTTGCCAAGGTGCTCGGGCGGGTCTTGAACCTGTGGGCTCACTCGCCTCGGCCCCCCAAAGTGGTGGGATTACAGGCTGACCCACCGAGTTCGGCCAACAGAGTCTTTTATCAGCTCTTTCAGGGTTCACTCAAAGCTGCCTTTCCCTTTCTCATTTCACTAATGTTGCACTTCCCAAAGCAGAGATAACCTGAGGTGGTCTATGCTTTAATAACACTGAACATCAAACAATCCCCAAAGTGTCTCTCTTCTGAACTCTCTTTTTTTGAGCTGGAATCTCACTCTGTCGCCCAGGCTGGAGTGCAGTAGCATGCTGGGCTTGACCTGCTAGGCTCAGGTAATCCTTCCACCTCAGCCTTGACCTGCTGGGCTCAGGTAATCCTTCCACCTCAGCCTGCCAAGTAGCTGGAACTACAGGAGCGTGCCACCATGCCCAGCTAATTTTTTGATTTATTACAGAGACAAAGTCTTACCAAGTTGCCCTGGCTGGTCTTGAACCCCTGGGCTCAGGCAATCCTCTTGCCTCTGCCTCCCAAAGTGCTGGGATTACAGGTGTGAGCCAAGGCTCCCGGTTCTCTTTCATATTTCTAAAGTAAGAATTTTGCAGCTAAGTGCTAGCAAGCCCTTAACACCTCCTGAAACTTGTTAATCTTCCATTTTAACAAAGAAAGCAGGCTCCAGGGTTAGAACTTTCTATAGGCAGCAGTATGTAGTCTGAATTTAATAGCACTGTTTAGTTTTTATCACATTTATTTTTAGAGTTGTACTCTTGTATCAAGTCACACTGTTTTTCCATTTATGGCATAAAGTTTCTTTTCAAACAAATTTAAGCACAAAGAAATAAGTCAATTTAAAGAAATCTACTATGTAAATAACGCCCAAGTGGTATATAAATATGACAACAATTATGGGGGTGGTGGGTATGATAGGCATTTGAAAAACTCTGCCCGAGGAAACAAACAAGAGATGGCACTTAGTTTTTACACTAAATCTCATTTTCTGAGTCTATGGCTACCAAATTGGTACTGGCACTGCTTATTTTTCTGAACATTGTTTAGTTCCTCATTCCTTATCAATGGTTCTATGACCTCACACCATACTGGCCCCATGGCCCTGGCTGCTACATTTCTTGCCTTCTAATCCAGAGCAAGGCCTTTGACATGGGGCTGGTCCCTCTTTTTATTCTATTGACCTTCTGAGTTTACCAAATCAACTCCTGAGTACGTACACTCAAGGAAGCAGAACACAGGATTCCTGTACTCTGAATCTGGTACACTGATCTCTTGGATATGGACCCCTGACTTAGAAGAGAGTGCCCAACTGTGGGCCTCCTTCTGGTGAACTTACCTGTTTCACAGCGATGCTGACCCGGACGGAGTTGATGGAGCCCTCAATCAGAACCTTTTCCTTTTCATTCCTGCTGATGGTCACAGGTTGTAACAGGAGTTCTTTGCTACTCCTGAAAACACAATGTCACAGACGCCTCTGTATTAAAGAGGGACAGTCTGGGTGCCCCCACAGCAGGTCCTGGAATCACTATCTGAGACCACAGAGTCTGAGGAAAGGAAGACTCACAAGCAGGGGTGCTCCAAGATAGGGGCCAGTGAGTATTTTCTTTAGCAGAAAGAGCATAGGTTCTGGAGTTAGGGCGAAAAGGTTTTGAAATCCAGACTCCTCTGCTCCCTTCGTTGGGAAAGTTATCCTGCTGGAATCTCAATTTCCTCATCTATAAAATGACTCACTGCTATTTCACTGGTGATGATTGAGAGAGATCAAAAGGATCAAGTGTCTAAAAGCGTGCCAGGCACATAATAGGAGCTTCACAAGAGACAGCTGACTTTATTGAGCCAGAAGCTCTTTTCTCCCCCAGAGACAAGGTTTCACTCAGTCACCTAGGCTGGAGTGCAGTGGAACCACCATATCTCACTGTAGCCTTGAACTCCTGGGCTCAAGCGATCCTCCTGCTCAGCCTCCTAAGTAGGCAGGCCTATAGGAACGTGCCATCATGCCCAGCAGACAGCTGATTTTAAAAACTACAGGTTGAACATACCTAATCTGAAAATCTGAAATCCAAAATGCTCTAAAATCTGAAACTTTTTACATGTCAAATTAGGAATGCTCAACTGGTTAAGTATCTGCAAAAGTTCCAAAATCCAAAACACGTCTGGTCCTCAGCATTTTGGTTAAGGGATACTCAACCTGTATAGGCAAACCCATATACGATGTAGGGAAAGAGAATAAGGACAGGCTAAAATTGAAAAAGTTTGGTGTCCTTTAATGATCTATCCAGAAATGATTCACTTATTCACCACCGAGACCCTTTAGCTCAGATCCCACACTGATGCCTCTGAATCCCTAGATATCTGTAATGATAGTTAACAATGGTAGTGTTGTCTGTGAGTTATCATTTTCAAATGCCTACTGGAAATCATATATGTTAAGTAGCATAATAGGACACCTTTTTTTGGTGAGTAAGTAAGAATTTATTAGAGGATAGAAAAGTACCTGGGAGGGGACCCGAAAGGGTTGCCAATAGGACACATTCTAACATCGGTTACTTTTAAAAATTCAAATCAGCCGGGCTCGGTGGCTCAGCCTGTAATCCCGCGCCTTTGGGAGGCTGAGGTGAGTGGATTGCCTGAGCCCGCGGGTTCGAGACCCGCCTGGGCAGCGAGACCTCATCTCCATAATAAATCAAAAAATCAGCTGGGCGTGGTCGCGCACGCCTGTAATTCCAGCTACCTGGAAGGCTGAGGCGGAAGGATCGCCGGAGCCCAGCAGGTCGAGGCTGCGGTGGCCGGGAGCGGCCACTGCACTCCAGTTTGGGCGACAGAGTGAGACTCCAACTCAAAAAAAAAAAAAAAAAAAAAAAAAAAAAAAAATTCAAATCACATCACTTAATGTGGTAACACAGTTCACCTGTTATGTATCTCCCAGATTGAATTTGAAAGGAGAAAAAGAATATTTGTGAAATGGAAACTAGATAAGAGAAAATCATTCAAAATATTAACTATTTGGAGTAACGGGTAAGAGGGTTTAGGCTGGTAGGAGAAAAAACTTTGATCCTTAAATGTGAAAAGTATGGAGATGACATCTCAGATAACTAAATTCTCTAACCTTTCTTTAAACTGTGGGTTCGATAATGTCACAAGAGATACTTCCTAAACAGCTCCATTCTGAGAAGTCATACTTTGTGTCAAGCAATCTTGGCTTCTCTCCTGGGTTTTGTCCTGCCAACCCACTGACCCTATTTTCTTAACTCCAAATCAGGAACCACTGTTCATCTAGCAGCAACACAAAATGTCAACTACTGTAGCTGCCCTGACAACTCCAGGATGTTAAGTTCAAGGCACCCTCTAGAAAGCAGCCATACTTGTATGCTGGCCCCTCGTCCCCACCCTGACCTTTTCCTGCCCTACCTGACTTCCACTTCTGGCTTGTTGTGTCGTTCCACAACCTGGGAGGAGAAGTTCTCCAGGCAGAGGGCAGCCTGCAGTGTGGCCCGCACGGCACTCAGGTAGGGGCGGAGAGTGGCAGTCTGTAGGAAAAAGCCCAAGGGGCGGAGAGGATCAAAATCTGCCTCACCAAACCTACCAGCCCTCTATTCCAGCTCTCACAAAGCCAGAATACTGAGGGTGCTGAGTTCTCAGACACCTCAGTGAACAGAACAGACTAGGCCTTCAAGATATTCTTCAGGCTAAGTCCCAGAGCAGTGGTTCTCAACAGGGGATGATTTTGCCTGGCAGGGGACATTTGGCAATGTTGAGACATTTTTTTCTTTCCTTTTTTAACCCGAGGTCAGACCAGAGGAATGTTGACACATTTTTTATTGTCATGACTGGGGGCAGGGGGAGGTGCTACTGGCATTGAGTGGATAGATATCCACTAAACATCCTACAATGTACAACAAAGAATGATCCAGTCCCAAATATCAATAGTGCTGAGGGTGAGAAACTGGTCTACAGGATACAGGTGAATGAATGATCGTCCTAATCTGTCTATGAAGCCAACAAATGTATGGTCTACTATTTGCCCGACACTGAGCTAGCTGGGAATTCAAAGACAATTAAAACCATCTCTACCCTCAAACACCTCAGCTGGGTGGGTGACATAGAGAAAACAACTATGACACAAAGGATAAAATGTGAAGTATTTAGACTTACAAGTAATCTATTAAAGAAGAAACTGGTTTTGATTTGAAGATGGAAATAGGATTGGGAGGATTTTTTGAGAAAAGGTAGAATAAGAACATTCTCAGTAGAGGGATCAGCCTCCTGCTACACTGGTCAGTCCTTTAATTAGCCAAGTTTTTTCTAGCCTCAGGTTTTAGACATACTGAACCATCTAATCACATCCTTTTCCTCTCTCTAGTGGCCTAAGTCATTCTTCAGCTCTCAGTTTATTAGGGAAGGACTGTTCCTTCCTCAGAGACCTCTCTCGACTTCCCTCTATACAGCATTCATTATAATAAAACATCCTTCATGTCTTTTGTAAAGTGATTTCTCCTTCACTAGACTATAAGCTTCATGGTCTATAGACCATGTCCATTTTATTCACAGCTTTATAGTCTGCACCTAGCTCAATACCTAACATATATAGTATGTTACTCTTTTTCTGTAGGATAAATGAATGAATAAGTAACTTAAACAAGGTTAGACTAACACAAAAGGGCATCAGGGGTTTCTGGAAGTAGTAATAAGTATGTTATTAATTATTACAATGTTTCTTATATGGGAAGCATGTTAAAAAGTCAGTAAATAAGGCTGCAGTGGTAGGCTGGGGTAAGATCATGGGGAATCCTGACTGAATGCCAGGCTGAGTTTAGCTTTTAAGGTGGTAAGAAGTATTGGGGTTTTCTGAGGAGGAAGTTACACGACTGCAGCTGCATGGTGGCTCTGTGGTGAACGGCTTGAAGAGGGAAGTGAGACATACAGCAGAGAAAGACAAGCAAAGAGTATCACAGGGATTGGACTGACGTGAGATGTAGAGAACAATGGAATCAAAAAACAACTCCAACAAACTGTGGTCCATCCATACAATGAAATAATATACAGCAACAAGCCAGGTATGGTGGTTCATACTTGCAATCCCAGCGCTTTGGGAGTAGGAGGCGAGAGGACTGCCTGAGCCCAGGGGTTTGAGACCAGCCTGGGCAACTTGGCAAGACCTTGTTTCAGTAAAAAAAAAAAAAAATCAGCCAGGCGTGGTGGCACATGCCTGTAATCCCAGCTACTCAGGAGGCTGAGGCAGAAGGATCACCTGAACCCAGCAGGTTGAGGCTGTGGTGGCTGTGAGCATGCCATTGTACTCTAGTCCAGGCAACAGAAGACTTTGACTCAAAAAAAAAGAAAAGAAATGTTACTCAGCAACAAAAAGGAATAACTATCAATACATACAACATGAATGACTCTCAAATGTATCATGATAAGAAGCCACTCTTAAAAGCCTACACATACTGAAGAATTCCATTTATATGACAATCAGAAGGCAAAATGTAAGGAAAAAAATTAGTGGTTGTTTGGGATGGGAAGGAGAGGAGACTGATTACAAAAGGGACTTAAGGGACCTTTTTGGGGTGATGGAAATGTTCTGTATGTTGATCGCAGTAGTTACATGACTTTTTTTTTTAAGAGATGAGGCCTCGCTATGTTGCCCAGGCTGATGTACAATGGCTATTCACAGGCATGATCACAGTGCATTACAATCTCAAACTCCTGGGCTCAAGTGATCCTCCTACCTCAGCCTCCCCAGCATGCCACTATACCCAGTCTGCTTTTGTCAACACTCAGTTACCTAAAAATGGTGAATTTTAGGTAGCCAACTCCGTGACACCTGCTCTTTCATAAATAAGATAAACATAGTTTCATGTAATACCTGAGTAAACTTGAATTTTTTTTTTGAGTCAGGGTCTCTCACTTTATCACCTAGCCTGGAGTGCAGTGGCACAATAAATGCAGCCTTGACCTCTTGGGTTCAGCAGATCCTTCCACCTCAGCCTCCCAACTAACTGGGACTACAGGTGCATCCCACCACATCCAGCTGATTTTATTTTATTTTTTTTGGAGAGACAAGGTCTCACTATATTGCCCAGGCTGGTCTCGAACTCCTGAGCTCAAGTGATACTCTTGCTTCAGCCTCTCAAACTGCTGGGATTAGTGTGAGTCACAGCACTCAGCTTTTATTTTTATTTTTTGAACAGGAGTCTCATTCTGTTGCCCAGAATGGAGTGCAGTGGCACGTTCAAAGTCACCACAACCTCGACCTGCTGAGCTTAGGTGATTCTTCTGTCTCAGCCTTCCAAGTAGCTGGAACCACAGGCACGCACCACCATGCCTGGCTAATCTTTTTTTTTTCCTTTATCGTAGAAACGAGGTCTAAGTTGCCCAGGGTGGTCTTGAACCCCTGGACTCAGGTAATCCTCTCACCTCTACCTCCCAAAGTGCAGGGATCACAGGTGTGAGCCAACGTACCCGGCTTTAAACTTTTTTTTAAATCAAGAGGCAAGTTTTCAATCAGAAAAAAAAATATATATATATGTCTCAGATTTCTAGCTGAGGCGTGAAGTCACAAAGTTTAACAGGATAGGGAACACAGGAGAAAGAACAAGTACAGGAGTTTTGAACTAGAGGTCTAATTGCAAGGTGTCTTCAAGCAAACCTTGAAGCAAACCTCTTTCAGGCAAACCTTGAAAGAGCTGGGAAGACAGATTAGGAATCACCAGAACGCAGGTCATCAAACCAGGAGGCTAGACATGTATCACCAGGAAGTGTGAAGGGCGGGAGGTGGTGACCCAAAGTCACAACTCCCAGGGACGTCCACATATACCAAAGGGAGGACTTCCAGAAAGGCAGGGATCAGCAGTACCACGGGGTACGTGCAGCAAGGTTGACACAGTTTAGTTCTGACTAGCAAGGGGTCTGAGTAGAGGCAACACAAAAGCGATCCTTCAGTGGGGTAGAAGCAAGGCTGAAGGTACTGAGTGGGATAAGGAAGTGTGGACGCCTGCCCTGAAACTGTAGGGTCAAGAGGGGTGAAGAGGACAAGAGGGTGTATGTAGTGCAGCTCTACTCTGAAGAGAGAGACCCTACTCCATGCTCAGCGGCCCTACGACGGGCTATGAGGCCTACTAGGTGCCTTGGAGGCGCTCCAACTAGCCTAGAAGGCTCCACTTCCGGTTCCCTGCGTGCCCCAGGAATAATCTCTACGTGTCTCGAAAGTCCGACCAAGTAGCCGCAAGCTTAGCTTACCAGCGAGTACCCCCACTCGCCCATTCCTAACTTCAGCACTCCGCCCCGCCCTCTTTCTCCCACCCGCACCTGTCCCCACACCACCCGGCATCCCTCGGCCCCGGGTGTCCGCGGCAAAGCCGCATCTGCCCCAGACCCACAGCCCAGAGGCAGAACAGCGGGGGTCCCTGGCCCGGGGCCCGGCTCTCTCACCATCGCGGGCGCTGGCTGGGCCGGAAAGCGGAAGTGCGGAAGTGGCCAGCCCCGCGATGCCTGCTCTTTCGCGAGAAGCGCAGCCGCAGTCTCCGCCCGAACTTCCGGACAGTACCATCTGTTGTCCTGAACGAAGGAGGGGGAGCCTAGGAACACTAGGATCCTCCGTAAGTCTTCCCGCTAGGAGTGTCTTGGAATTCTTAAACTCTTGCAATAGAATCTCCACTCAAGTTTCTCCAGGTGTCTGTGAAGATCTCGCTTGTTCTTTCCGGTTTATTGTTGCCTTTGCCATAGCCTGCCCCCGGTCATGCAATGGTACCGCCCGACCTCGGGTTGGGCACCAAATTAGGACAAGCCGAAGCGGAGGAGCCCTTCGTTTCTTCCGGTTCTGTGCCCCCATCCTTTCTCCCTGGGGCTCGGCGGGGCTGACAGCAACGCAGAGATCTCGGCCGCTGGGCCCCGCCCCCAGCCCTGGGCTGTTTCCAAGCGTTCGCCCGAGGCATACCACCCCCATCCCACCTCCAGCGGCCTCGCTCACGACCAGCGGCCCTCCCTGGCAAACCACAGTGGGCTCTCCCAGCCGTATCCCCGCCCCCGCGACAACTGCGGGGAGCCCGCCCCTAGCCAGTTCCGGGGCGGTTGCTCCCACCGACCGGAACTCCCCGCCCCCTCCCGCGGCCCGGGGGCCGTAAGAGGCCGCAGTGAGGAGGTAGAGGGGGCGGGGGCCGCGTCAGGGGTCCCTAGAGGGACGGGGACCTTGAAGGCGGGACATTGGGGCGACCCACGGGTGGGGCCAGCCGTTAAGCAGGCCCACTTCTTCTGTGCCAGGCACTGAACTGGGCTCTTGACGGGCATCATCTCTTAATCCTCAGAACATCCCAGGGAGGTAGGTACTGTTGTTATCCCCATTTTACAGATTCAGACTTCTTATGGGGAAACAGACTGAGACTTCTTTTGTTCCCATTTTACAGATGAAAAAAACCGAGACTCAGGTTAAATAACGTGTTCAGGAGCACATAAGTAGAGGATGGTAAAGCCTGGATTTGATCCTAGGTCTGTCTGGCCTACCATTCCACGTTCTAAACCACCGTTAATGACTAGACAAAGTGGAAAGGTAGAGTGGGATGAGACAAGGAAAGGCCGGGAGGCACAAAGAACATTGTAAGAATCGGGTGGAGCCGGGCTCGGTGGCTCAGCCTGTAATCCCGCGCCTTTGGGAGGCTGAGGTGAGTGGATTGCCTGAGCACAGGGGTTCGAGACCTGCCTGGGCAACTTGGCGAAACCTCATCTCTACAATAAATAAAAAATTAGCTGGGCGTGGTAGCGTGCGCCTGTAGATCCAGCTACTTGGAAGGCTGAGGCGGAAGGATTGCCGGAGCCCAGCAGGTCGAGGCTGCGGTGGCCGGGAGCGGCCACTGCACTCCAGTCTGGGCGGCAGAGTGAGACTCCAACTCAAAAAAAAGAAGAATCGGGTGCTTGGATCTCAAAGATTTAGCAGAACCCAAGAGGAGTAGAACAGAAAGGAAGAGCATTGGAAAGATTGGGCTTAGTCATATATCACGTGGTTGAGGGTACAGATTCAAAACTACCAAAGTTCGAATTGCATCTTATAAGCTTAGGCATGTACCCACTCTTACGGAGTCTCAGTTTCTTTTTCTGTAAAAGGGGGATCACGGTAGCCCTTGTTCATGGTGTTGGGTGAAATAAGCTGATACAGTGCTCTGCACGTTGCTTGAGACACAGTAGGTACCCTGTGAGTAGGAACTGTGTTATCAGTCTTGTCAGTAAGGGTACTGAGGCTGTCACCTCAGTACCTGGAGGTAAGAAGACCTTGGACTTTTTGTTTGTTTGTTTTGCCAAGAAGATAGTCTCAGAAGTTTCAAGTGAAGAAGAGATTGGGACCTTGGACTTTTCTGTGCCACTTTGTCTCTCATCAACAGCTCTCTCTCCAGTTTCACAGGGTCCCCTATCTCGGGCCATGAGTGAGTTGAAGGACTGCCCCTTGCAGTTCCATGACTTCAAGTCTGTGGACCACCTGAAGGTCTGTCCCCGCTACACGGCAGTGCTGGCCCGCTCCGAGGATGATGGCATTGGCATTGAGGAGCTGGACACCCTGCAGCTGGAGCTTGAGACCCTGCTCTCCTCTGCCAGCCGGCGTCTGCGTGTGCTCGAGGCTGAAACCCAGGTGATACCCCAGAAAGGGGACATCACTAGAGATGAACCGTGACAAGTTAGGGGATAGGTCATTAAGTTAGCCCCATCTACCAAGCCCTTGGGGTACAGGAGCTTACGGAGGGGAGAGAGACCCAAACTGGGCTCGTATGACACATAAAATAGGCAAGAATATGCATGATCCTCATACATAGCAAGGTTGCTAGTTCACTAAGTTATTATTGACTCCTGACCCACCCTTATGTGCTGGGTCTAATACTAGTCACTAGAGAGATAATTAGGACAATTTTGGCCATCAGGGAGCTTTCCAAATAAAGGAAGAGGGAAGTCAGACAAACACCAAATGATGTGATATTATGATTAGGAGTGCTAGAGGAACTCGCATGGGGAGACCTGGTTTTGAATCCTGGCCTAAGCACTTGCTAGTGTTGCTATTTCCTGGCTATGTGACTTTGAGACAGTTCCCTCTTATCTCTGAGTATCAGTTTCCCTGTCTGCAACCCTGTCTGCAAAGTGGACTTGAATAATAGGCCCTACCTTAAGAGTTTTTGTAGCCAGGCTCGGTGGCTCAGCCTGTAATCTCAGCACTTTGGGAGGCTGAGGTGAGTGGATTACCTGAGCCCACGGGTTCGAGACCCACCTGGGCAACTTGACGAGACCTCATCTCTACAATAAGTCAAAAATTAGCTGGGCATGGTAGCGTGCACCTGTAGTTCCAGCTACTTGGAAGACTGAGGTGGAAGGATCACTGGAGCCCAGCAGGTCAAGGCTGCAGTGGCTGGGAGCGGCCACTGCACTCCAGTCTAGGTGAGAGAGTGAGACTCCAACTCAAAAAAAAAAAAAAAGTTTTTGTGAGGATTAAAAGCAAATTTTGCAAAGGCTCAGTCCGATACCTGACACTAAATAAACATTTCAAAAGTTATATATTAGTCCTCCTCTGATTATTATTATCATTATCATTATTATTATTTGAATTGTAATCTCACTCTGTGGCCCAGGCTGGAGTGCAGTAGCATGCTCATGGCCACTGCAGCCTCAACCTGCTGGGCTCAGGTGATTCTTCACCTCAGCCTTCCAAGTAGCTGGAACTACAGGTATGTACCACCATTCCCAGCTAATTTTTTTTTCTGAGTTGGAGTCTCACTCCGTCACCCAGGCTGGAGTGTAGTGGCACGTTCATGGCCACCCCAGTGTTGACCTGCTGGGCTCTGGGGATCCTTCCATTTCAGCCCTCCAAGTAGCCAGAATTATTGGCATGTGCCACCACGCCTGGCTAATTTTTTGATTTATGGTAGAGATGAGGTCTCACCAAGTTGCCCAGGCTGTTCTCGAACCCGTGGGCTCAGGCAGTCCTCTCACCTTGGCCTCCCAAAGTGCTGAACCACCGCACCCGGCCTAATTTTCTTGTAGAGACGTGGTCTTGCCATGTTGCTCAGGCTGGTGTCGAACCCCTAGGCTCAGGCAGTCCTCTCGCCTCTGCCTCCCAAAGTGCTGGGATTACAGGCATGAGCCACCATACCTGCCTATACTCTGATGATTTTTATTCGCTGCATAAACATCCCCTAAGCCCTGTGTGTCAGGTGCTATGCTAGAGCCTGCAAAATAGAGATGGCTAAAATGAACTTCCTGATCTCCAGTATCTTATAGTCTAGTTGAAGAGACAAGGTGTACTGCTCATTCCAGGATGAGCAGATAACATGATTGGGGGTGTATAGTAAGTAGAAAGTGCTAGACTTATAGAGGAAGGCGATGCCATTTCAACTCGGCCTAAAAAGATGAATAGAAGGCCAGGCTCGGTGGCTTATCCTGTAATCCCAGCACTTTAGGATGCCAAGGTGAGTGGACTGCCAGAGCCCATGGGTTCAAGTCCAGCCCGGGCAACTTGGCGAGACCTCGTCTCTACATTTAAAAAAAAAAAAATTAGCCAGGCTTGGTAGCACATGCTTGTAGTTCCAGCTACTTGGAAGGCTGAGGTGGAAGGATCGCCAGAGCCTAGGAGGTTGATGCTGGGGTGGACGTGAGTGTGTGTGCCACTGCATTCCATCCAGCCTGGGTGACGGAATAAGACTCCAACTTAAAAAAAGATGAATAGAAATAACCTGGGGTCCCTGGGAATCCGTGGAAGCTCTTGCTAGGAGGGCTATGACACAGTAAGAAGCTGGGTTACCAATGCAGAGACAGCTTGTCAGTTGTGGTGACATTTGAAGTTTGCTTCCTTTTTGCCGAAACATCACCATCAGCATGTTTTCCAAGGGGTTACATGTACTGGGGTGTGATCATTTATTTGGCCCTTCTACTAACCAATATGTGACTGACTTGAGTGATGCAGAGGTGAATCAGTATAGACTAACAAGTGAAAGGGCTGATGAAAGGTATGTGATTAAAGTCCTGAGACAGAAGCACAGGAAAGGAGCTGAGTTTTGAAGGATAAGTGTTTGCTGAGTAAAAAGGGATAGGAAAAGACCTCGGAACCTCCTTGGATTGTACATCCTAATTCATTGGGGGAAAGAGTTGTCCAGTGTCTTCCCTTCTCTTCAGTGACAGTGTCTGTAAATTTCAGATCCTCACTGACTGGCAGGATAAGAAAGGTGACCGACGATTCCTGAAGCTGGGTCGAGACCATGAGCTTGGAGCACCCCCCAAACATGGGAAGCCCAAGAAGCAGAAGCTAGAAGGAAAGGCGGGACATGGGCCGGGCCCTGGCCCAGGGCGGCCCAAATCCAAAAACCTTCAGCCCAAGATTCAGGAATATGAATTCACTGATGACCCCATCGATGTGCCACGGATCCCCAAGAATGATGCCCCCAACAGGTTCTGAGCTTGAAAAAGAAAGGGGCTGTGGGATTCTGGTGTTGGAGGTTCTAGTGAGGCAGGGCCGGGGCTGGTGGGACACAGGGCACCCACTCAAGATCTGCTTCTCCTTGCAGGTTCTGGGCTTCAGTGGAGCCCTACTGTGCTGACATCACCAGTGAGGAGGTACGCACACTCGAGGAGCTACTGAAGCCCCCAGAAGACGAGGCTGAACATTACAAGGTAGAAACCCGACAGACATGGAGATAGACATAATGGAGAACAAGAGGGCTCAGCAGTGCCTCAGAATTAGAGCTAACAAAGCCATGCATCGCTCTTCCCCTACCGTGCCCAACCTCCTGTCTGCCCAATCAACCCATCCCGACTTCCAGGCTTAGACTTTCAGCTTTCTCCTTGCACTGCCTCCCTCTGCCCCAGCCAGGTGGTCACCACGTCCTCATATACTCACTTCATATACATATACTCCTCATATACTCACTTCAGTGAAGTCTGCCCTTGTTTACTCACCTCCATCCCCTGTGCTTTGGTTCACTCATTACTACCAGTCTCTTAACTCTCTTCCTGCTTTTTGGCCTCAGAGTAACCTTTCTTTTTCTTTTGTTACTATGTAAAAGCCTATGATGAACATAAAACATGATCCATTGAAGAAAATTTAGAAAATACGGAAAAGTGTTAGAGGGGACGCTCTCCCATAGATAACTGTCATGATCAGATGTGTTCCTGACATGGCTTTGCTTCCAGGCCTTCCTTGGCTGCTGTTATCTACAGGATCAAATCCAAGTGTCTCAGTCATTGACAGCACAGCCCCAGCACCCCTCCAGTTTTGGTGGCCACACCTCTCTTTAATGCTGCATTTGCCAGCCCCATCAAGCACCTTGCCCTCACTCTAGGCTAGCATAGGGTCCTTGCTGGCCTCTGGGCCTCTGTGTGAGCTCTTTTGTCCTTGACAGACTTGATTACCTATCAAGGCTCTGATCTCATGCTAGCTCGCCAAAATGTCTTTTCAGATTCCCCAGCAGAAAGCTGGTCTTTCAGGCAACTCCTTTGGATCCCACTGTGGGAGCTTCTCTGTCCTCTCAATAAATCCTACTTTAAAAAAAAGAAAAGAAAAGAAAACTGGTCTCTCCTTTGCCTTGATCTACCTCCTATCTGAATTTTTTAAAAATTTATTTGAAAAAGTAATTCTTATGGACAGCAGTAAATTCAAACAGTACAAAAGATAATTTCCCCTTGCCCGTGACCTATAAGTTCCTAGCTACTTGAGGCAGTAGCTATAATCTGAGACAATCCATGTACATAGAATATTCTACACCTTCTATCTTGGGAATTGTTCTATATTGGCTGCTGTGTGTATTTTAGTTCTTTGTGTAACTCTTTCCCTTACTAGAGTGTGAATGTAGAAATTTTATCTCCTTTGTCTCTTTTTTTTTGAGTCGGAGTCTCAGCTCTGTTGCCCAGGCTGGAGTTCAGTAGCACACTCACAACCACTGCAGCCTCGACTTGCTGGTCTCAGGAGATCCTTCCACCTCAGCCTTCCAAGTAGTTGGAACTACAGGCGTGTGCCACCACGCCCAGATGCCCTGCCAATTTTAAAAAATTTATTGTAGAAACGAAGTCTCGCCATGTTGCCCAGGCTGGTCTTGAACCCCTGGACTCAGGCAATCCTCTTGCCTCCACCTCTCAAAGTGCTAGGATTACAGGCGTGAGCCATCATGCCTGGCCTCCTTTGTCCCTTCTTACCTGTACCTGGCATTGGTCTTGGTCCTGGACTAGGGACAGATAAGACAGATAATTGAGTGAATAAATAAATGAATGAGGGACTGAACGAAATGCTTATTGGCAATGTCCAAGTGCGCAGAGAACCTTCCATACCCCAGGCTAGCTAGCCAGTGTTTACTCCCTTGGGGCCGGGTGCCATCTCTCCCACAGATCCCACCCCTGGGGAAGCACTACTCCCAGCGCTGGGCCCAGGAGGACCTGCTGGAGGAGCAGAAGGATGGGGCCCGGGCAGCGGCCGTGGCTGACAAGAAAAAAGGCCTCATGGGGCCGCTGACCGAACTGGACACTAAAGGTAGAGTCTTTCACCTCCCTGCCCACCCCAGGCCACTACTTGAGTTCCCAGAACTTCAGCCTACCTGTCCTTTTATGTGCCCACTTCAGATGTGGATGCCCTGCTGAAAAAGTCTGAGGCCCAGCACGAGCAGCCAGAAGATGGGTGCCCCTTTGGTGCCCTGACGCAGCGCCTCCTGCAGGCCCTGGTGGAGGTAAGCACCCAACCCAAAACAAAGCACATTTATTTTCTGTCTTAATATTTTATGTTTATTTTGTATTGAAATGTATTACACATTTAGAAAAGTGCACAATCATAAATGTACAGATTGATCATAAATGTACAGTTTCACAAATGAACTTGTATTACCAGCCTGGAAATCACAAAATAAAACACTGCCAAGCTGGGCATGGTGGCTCATGCCTGTAATCCCAGCACGGCGGAGGCAAGAGGATTGCCTGAGCCCACAGGTTCAAGACCAATCTGGGCAACATGGCAAAACCTTGTCTCTACAATAAGTCAAAAAATTAGCCAGGCATGGTGGCCCGCGCCTGTAGTCCCAGCTACTTGGAAGGCTGAAGTGGAAGGATCGCCTGAACCCAGCAGATTGAGGCTGTGGTGGCCCTAAGCGTGCTACTGCACTCCAGCCTGGGTGACAGAGTGAGACTCGAACTCAAAAAAAGCAAACAAAAAAACTGCCATATCCTAGGAGCCCCTCTCCTGCTCCTCCTAGTCTCTAACCTCCCCCAAAGGTAGCTTCTACTTCACAGTTACTTTGGCTGAGCATTGGCTAAGGGCTAAGCTCTGGAAGGGCTTTGCACAAACCCTCTCACTGGAGGCCAGGACAGTGGTTAGCTCTGTGTTACTGAAGAGAAGGTTGAGGCTCAGAAAAGGAAATTGTTTGCTTAAGATCACATCTAATAAGTAGAGGCAGGATTTAAACCTCAGCATCAGAGTCCCTGTCTTTATATCTACTGGCTGACCTTAGACCTCACGGAGCCTCAGTTTTGTCTTCTGACTGAAACATAATAGCTTATTTCTCTGTCCATAACAGTTGGGGGCACATGTTCCAGGCTGACAAAGGTAGTGTCAGGGGAAGATCTCTGCTTCACACCATCAGACAGGGACCCCAGCTGATGGTGGCATTGCATGTTGCACAGGGTCATTCTGAGCGTGAATGCCTCTCCAGTCCCACAGAGTAAGAGCAAGGAGGAATGTGTGAGGAAGCTTTTAGGCCGTGGCTAGCTGTGACTTTTATCACTTTTGATCACTTTCCCCTGGAGAGAATTAATTTGTCACTTGACCATACTTGACTGCAAGGGAGCCTGGGAAATACAGTATAGCTGAGTAGGCATTGCCCAGCCTCTTTGGAAGAAAGAAGAGCATGGTGTTTTGACAGCCAGCAACCTCTGCCAGAACAGGCTCAGCACAGTGCATGGTGCGTTACAAATGCTTCACAACCTTAGTTGTTCTCATTATCACTGTTGAGTGTTATCATTGTTCTTCTGTCTGCCTTTTTTTGGAAATGATCAAAGCTGTTTGGGGTCAGTTTGGGAAAACTTCCCAGAGGAGGTAGAATGGGAAAAATAAAAGGATATTTCTGTTCAGTGAAAACTGTCCATGTAGGGCAGAAATGAGCAGAAAAATGAAAACACTATGGCTCTTTTTTCCTTCATTCCATTTTTCTGGTCTTCTAGGAAAATATTATTTCCCCTATGGAGGACTCTCCTATTCCTGACATGTCTGGGAAAGAATCGGGAGCTGATGGGGCAAGCACCTCTCCCCGCAATCAGAACAAGCCATTCAGGTGAGTAGTGTCTTATCGGTAGCCCACAATTAACCCTGCTCTGTTGGCTTCTGTCCATCTCAACATGGGAAGGACCTCATTAATAGAGGATGAGGGAAATTAGATCAAGCTGAATAGAACTCTCAAGTGTGGGCTAGGCTCAGTGGCTCAGCCTGTAATCCTGTGCTTTGCGAGGTCAAGGTGAGTGAATTGCCTGAGCCCGCAGATATGAGACCCGCCTGAGCAACTTGGTGATACCTCATCTCTACAATAAATCAAAAATTAGCCGGGCCTGGTAGCACGCACCTGTAGTTCCACCTACTTGGAGGGCTGAGGCGGAAGGATCACCGGAGCCCAGCAGGTCGAGGCTGCAGTGGCTGGAAGTGTGCCACTGCACTCCAGTCTGGGCAACAGAGTGAGACTCCAACTAAAAAAAAAAAAAAAAATCTCAGGTATGAGTGCTGACCAAGCACTACTTTGTACACAGACTGAAAACAGGGTTGTTCATCATAGTACTGTTCATTCTGTAAGTAACCTGAGTGTCCAACTGAAGGGGATTGTTTGGCTTAATTGGCATAACTTTGTATGATGAAATCACTTCCAACTATTAATCATATAAGAGAATATACTTGACCAGGCATGGTGGCTCATGCCTGTAATCCCAGCACTTTGGGAGACAGAGGTAAGAGGATTGCCTGAGCCCAAGGGTTTGAGACTAGCCTGGGAAACTTGACGAGACCTTGTCTCTACAATAAATAAAAAAATTAGCCAGGCATGGTGGCATACACTTGTAGTTCCAGCTACTTGGAAGGCTGAGGCACAAGGCTCACCTGAGCCTAAGCAATTCGAGGCTGCAGTGGCCATGAGTATATCACTGCACTCCAGCTTGGGTGACAGAGTGAGACTCCAACTCAAAAAAACAAAAAAGAGAGAGAGAGAATATACTTAATTGACAAGAAAAAATGTAAACAAAGTGCCAAGTGGGGAAAATGTTAGTTGTAATTCAATACAGTCAGTGTAATTCTGCCTTTACTAAAAACATATTTTGGCCAGGCACAGTGGCTCACATCTGTAATCCCAGCACTTTGGGAGGCTGAGGAGGGAGGATTGCTTGAGCCCAGGATTTCAAGACCAGCCTGGGCAATACAGCAAGATCTTGTCTCTACAAAAAAAAAAATTATTTTTTAATTAGCTGGGCCGGGTGCAGTAGCTCAAGCCTGTAATCCCAGCACTTTGGGGGGCTGAGGCCAGAGGATGACCTGAACCTGTGGGTTCGAGACCAGCCTGGGCAACTTGGTAAGACGTCATCTCTACAATAAATAAAAAAAATTAGCTGGGCATGGTTGTGCCTGTGGTTCTGGCTACTTGGAAGGCTGATGCGGAAGGATCACTAAAGCCCAGCAGATTGATGCTGGGGTGGGCATGAGTGTACCACTGCACTCCCACCTGGGCCACAGAGTGTGACTCCAACTCAAAAAAAGAAATTAGCTGGGCATGGTAGTACATGCCTGTAATTTCATTTATTCAGGAGGCTGAGATAAAAAAATCGCCTGAGCTGAGGAGGTCAAGGCTGTGGTGAGCCATGATCATGCCACTGCACGCTAACCTGGGTGACAGAGTGAGACCCTGACTCAAAAAAGTGTGTGTGTATATGTATATTATATATTGTATATACACTTTAAGTTGTATTTATTTACATTTATATAAAATATATATACACACATATATACTTTAAATATGTATACATAAGGGGAAAAACCTGGACTTAATGTATATCAATTGGGAATGATATGTAACAAAATCTGGACTATGTAATAACATATAACAAAATACTAGTGATTCTTCTCTCTAGTTTGTCATTATGGGTTTTTCTGTATTTTTTGACAATGGATATACGTTGCTTATGTTTAAAAACCAGATCAGATATGTTAGTCTGTCTCCTTTTATGTCTGGATAGATATAGAAGGGGTACTCAAGCCGAGTACAGTGGCTCACGCGTATAATCCCAGCAACTTGGTAGGCTGAGGTGAGAGGACTGCCTGAGTACAGGAGTTCGAGACCAGCCTGGGCAACTTGGTGAGACCTTGTCTCTATGATAAATTATAAAAATTAGCCGGGCATGGTGGTGCACACCCGTAGTTCCAGCTACTTGGAAGGCTGAGCCAGAAGGATTGCCTGAGTCCAGCAGGTCAAGGCTGTGGTGGCTGTGAGTGTGCCACTGCACTCCAGCCTGGGCGACAGAGTGAGACTCTGATTTAAAAAAGAAAAGAAAAGGAAAAAAGAAGAGATACCCAACGGGAAAGGAATGTGTTGACTGACCTTAGGGAACCTTGGGAATCTCTGAGATAGAACCCCCTCCAAGCTGGCCCTTGAGCTGAGGAACCTAGTCTCTGAAATCTGATGGGCTGCCTTCCCTCAACAGTGTGCCGCATACTAAGTCTCTGGAGAGTCGCATCAAAGAGGAGCTGATTGCACAGGGCCTTTTGGAGTCTGAGGACCGCCCCGCAGAGGACTCAGAGGATGAAGTCCTTGCTGAGCTGCGCAAACGGCAGGCCGAGCTGAAGGCACTTAGTGCCCACAACCGCACCAAGAAGCACGACCTGCTGAGGTGAGCGTAAGCAGGATGCACAGTGCAGAGCATTGGCCAAGGAGGCCTTGGCCACTGCTGGTCACCTTCCAGGGACTTTACAACAGGCTTCCCAAACCTTGAAAAAAATATCAGTGCCCAGCCCATTGATTGATTATGTCTCAGATTCTGATTCCACAGGCCAGGGTTCAGGAACCTGTGATGGTTGATTGATTGATTTGATTTGGTTTGGTTTTATAATTGTGGTGAGAAATATAAAATTTACCCTCTTAACTATTTTTAAATATACAGTTTAGTGGTGTTAACTATATTTACATTGTCTTTTTGTTTGTTTGTTTTGAGTTGGATCTCACTCCATCGCCCAGGCTAGAGTGCAGTGGCACACTCACAGCCACCCCAACGTTGACGTCTGGGCTCCAGCAGTCCTTCCGCCTTAGCCTTTCAAGTACTGGGAACTACAGGCGTATGCTACCGTGCCCGGCTAATTTTTTTATTTATTGTAGAGATGAGGTCTCACCAAGTTGCCCTGGCTGTTCTCAAACCCGTGGGCTCAGGCAAATCCTCTCACTTTGGCCTCCCAAAGTGCTGGGATTACAGGCTTGAGCCACCACACCCGACCATATGATTCTTTTTTTTTGAGTTGGAGTTTCACCCTGTCACCCAGACTGGAGTGCAATGGCCGCTCCCAGCTACTGCAGCCTCGACCTACTGGGCTCCGGCGATCCCTTCGCCTCAGCCTTCCAAGTAACTGGAACTACAGGCATGCACTATCACGCCCGGCTGATTTTTTGATTTATTGTAGAGATGAGGTTTTGTCAAGTTGCCCAGGTGGGTCTTGAAACCGTGGGCTCAGGCAATCCACTCACCTTGGCCTCCCAAAGTGCTGGGATTACAGGCTGAGCCACCGAGCCCATCCTGTGATTCTTTTTGAAGTCTTTTCATCCTTATTCTTTTTTTCTCCCAAAGTTTTATTATAAAAAATTAATTGGCCAGGCACAGTGGCTCACACCTATAATCCCAGCACTTTGGGAGGCCGAGGTGAGACGACTGCCTGAGCCCACGGGTTCAGACCAGACTGGGTAACTTGGTGAGACCTCATCTCTACAGTAAACCAAAAAATTAGTCAGGCATGGTGGCGCGTGCCTGTAGTTCCAGCTACTTGAAAGGCTGAGGTGGAAGGATCACCTGAGCCCAGCATGTCGAGGCTGCAGTGGCCATGAGCATGCCACTGTACTCCAGCCTGGGCGACAGAGTGAGATTCCAACTCCAAAAAAAAAAAAAATTGACTACTAACATTTTGTTGGAGATCTGTGATATCTCTTGGCCCATCGCCAAAAATTGTATTTTGGGACCAGGTTTTTTGGGAATCATTCGCAGTGCCATTCATTTAATATCAATTTCCATCCATCTTGTCCTGCATTGGTCACAAGGGTATAGGTGATATCTGGAGGGAGACCATGGTAGCTGCACTTTTATTATAGAGATAAAGAAGCAACCCAGACACGTCTTTTTCTCACAGGCAGGTGCTGTGTCTTAACCTCACAGGACCCTGACTAGACAGTGCACACTCATTCATTTGGCCAACTCTTACTGTCTCTTAGTCAGACATTGTGCTGGGGACTAGGAAGAGAGGCAGAGTGGAGGAGTTGTAGTCTACTGGTAGATAATCAATAAAGACATGCACCATTAAAAGGAGAGGTGGTTGCTAACAAGCTGCTAGGGTGTTTAAGGATAAGGGAGACTAATGTGTGCTGAGTGCCTACTGTGAGCCAGAGCCTCTATTATACATCTTTTCATTTAGTCTCAACAACAACACAGGGGCTAGGTGGGATTTTCCCTCTTTACCAGATGAGAAAATAAAGACCCAGTAAAGTGAACTGCTTTGTTGAAGGTCACACATCCAGTAAACAGCCAGATTGAGACGTGAGTACATGGCTGAATCCAAGTCTCTCTCTAGTTCATGTTCCTTTTCAAGAGTGAGAAGCCGGGCACAGTGGCTCACACCTATAATCCCAGCACTTTGAGAGCCAGAGGCGAGAGGATTGCCTGAGCCCATGGTTTCAAGACCAGCCTGGGCAGCAAGGTGAGACCTTGTCTCTACAATACATCCAAAAATTAGCGGGCGTAGTGGTGCACTCCTGTAGTTCCAGCTACTTGGAGGGCTGAGGCAGAAGGATCACCGGAACCCAGCAGGTTCAGATTGCAGTGGCCGTAAGCATGCTACTACATTCCAGCCTGGGTGACAGTGAGACTCCGACTCAAAAAAAAAAAAAAGAGTAGAGGAAGATATAGGTGAAAGAGGCATCAAGGGAAGGTAGAGAGAGAGCAATAGGAAGAGAGAAAAGCCGGGATGTGCAGTTATATAAGTAAGAGGCAATGAAGAAATAGCTCGAGGCTATCAGAAGGCCAGAGTACAGCCCTCAGCCCTGCTGCAGACAAGCTGCAGAACCTTAAGCAAGGCATCCCCTACCCTCAGCAGCAGCTTCCTCTTCTGGAAAATTAGCAGGTTGGACTGGATATCTAAGTGACCTTCCAGCTCCACCAATGCTGAGGTCAAAGGGATTGTTTTGGCAACTCCTCTACCTTGCATGGGCCTCAGGCTGCCTAGGCCCTTAGGTTGTTCTTGAATATGGATGCCGAAGTAAGCAGTCCTCCTGCTGGCCCAGAACACCTTTTAAAGAATATTGTTGAAAAACAAGAGTTTGCTGCCAGCCTGCTCCAGATCTCCCATTACTAGTTTATGGTCTTGTGGCATTTCTTATCCTCCCTAAACTTCCGTTTCCTCACTGGTAGCATAGGAATAACAGTACCTACTTTACCTACTTTGCAAGGTTGTTGTGAGGATTAACTAAGAGTGTGTGTGTCTGTGTATGCACTCAGTAGCCCCCCCAATCACAAGGGCTGTATTCCAAGACTCCTATACGTGTCTACCTATAATAAAGTTTTATTTGTAAATTAAACACAATAAGAGATTAGTCGCAAATAACCAAAAATAAAATAGAATAGGCCATGCATGGTGGCTCATGCCTCTAATAGCGACACTTTGGGAAGCTGAGGTGAGAGGATTGCCTGAGTGCTCATCTCTACAATAAATTAACAAAATAAGCAGGCATGGTGGCACATGCCTGTAGTTCCAACTACCTGGAAGGTTGAGGAGAAAGGAGTGCCTTGAGCCCAGCAGGTCGAGGCTGTGGTGGCCATGAGCGTGCCACTGCACTCCAGCCTGGTTGATAGAATGAGACTCCGACTCAAAAAAAAAATAGAACAAGTATAACAATGTACTATAATAAAAGTTATGTGAATGTGGTCTCCCTCTCCCTCTCTCAAAATACAGTAATGTTTTTGGACTGTAGTTGACTGCAGGTAAATGAAACCATGAAAAGTGAAACCATGGATAAGGGAGAGCTACTATCTATATTTTTAAGACTTAGTTCTTTTAGAGCAGTTTTAAGTTTACAACAAAATTGAAAGGAAGGTACAGGGATTTCCAGTATACCCCCTGTCCTTACACATGCGTAGTTTCCGCCATGATCAACATGAGTCAATATTTTTAAAGTGCTTAGGTCAGACACGGTGGCGCATGACTATAATCCCAGCACTTTGGGAGGCAGAGATGAGAGGATTGCCTGAGCCCACGGGTTCGAGACCAGCCCAGGCAACTTGGCAAGACCTCATCTCTACAAGAAATCAAAAAATTAGCCGAGCATGGTAGTGCATGCCTGTGGTTCTAGCTACTTGGAAGGCTGAGGCAGAAGGTTCGCCTGAGCCCAGCAGGTCGAGGCTCTGGTGGCTGTGAGTTTGCCACTACACTCCAACCTGTGCTATAGAGTGAGACTCCAACTCAAATAAATAAGAGCTTAAAATAGTGCCATAGAAGTGTGATTCAGTTACTGCTTTCTGGTCACAATTGTATGAAACAGCCCGTAGGACTATCAGCCTGGGATGGTGGGTAGGCTCAGTGTGGAGGAGGGAGTGGCCACTCTCTTGACCATGGCACCTGGCTGGCTGGTTCCCACAGGCTGGCAAAGGAGGAGGTGAGCCGGCAGGAGTTGAGGCAGCGGGTCCGCATGGCAGACAATGAGGTCATGGATGCCTTTCGCAAGATCATGGCTGCTCGACAGAAGAAGCGGACTCCCACCAAGAAGGAAAAAGACCAGGCCTGGAAGACTCTGAAGGAGCGTGAAAGCATCCTGAAGCTGCTGGATGGGTAGCCTTCACCCCTGTCTCTGGCATGGGGTGGGGGGGAGCGGAGGTGGAAGGGAGAAGCCCACTTCCTTCTTTAAGCACCAGAAGCATTGGTCTGTGGCTGCCCATCAAATGGCAACAGACTAAGGCCCTTCCCCTGAGGTCTTTTGGTCTAGCCCTGTACATCTAGGACACAGGAAACTCTGTAGGGCTGACCTGGGGCCCGGTTTCTTCTTGGTCCCCAAGATGAGGGAGGCCTTTGTTTCTGGGTCTTCCTCTTCCCCCTCTTTACCACCCTCCATTCCTCATCCCCCCCTCCTTCTCCCCACTCAAGGACTTCTCTCTTGGGGTTTTATAAAGTGCAAACTTAAGAATAAAGTGACTGCTGTGGTTTTTCAAAAAATGCATCCAGAGTCTTTGAATGTCTGTTATTGTGGGGTAGGAAGAAACCAATGTGGGTCGCAGAGGTTCAGGGGCACACCAGGTGGCTCTCAGCCTGTGGCCACTGGCTCGTGGCAGTTATTCAGGGAGAACTTTCTGAGCACCTCTTTCCGAGGACACTTGTGGCTGCATGTAGCAGAATACCTCCAGCTCAAAGTGGATTAACAGTAAGGAAACATGTTGTCTGAGGGCTTGGCTGTGCTGGGGCAGGGTGGCCTTCAGGGTTAGCCAATCTAGCAACTCTACAGGATCATCAAGGGTCCAGGTTCTTTAGGTGTCTCCATAGTGTAAGTGATACTGGCCCAATTTTCCCATAGAACTGATATTAATGGAGTTTTCTTTTAGAATAAACAAAGAAATTGACTCCCCTGGTCTTAAAACTTTAAATTTATATTTGCCTTATCTGAGTTCCTTAGGAAACCAATCTTCAGGCAAGGCGCTGAAACTCACCAGATCACTATATTCAGACAGTGAGAAGTTAGGCCCCTCATTTATGATTACTTTCTTACCCCTCCTTGATTGCTATTTTACATTCCTTCCCCCACTATATAAGCCTCCAATTTCTTTTTCTTTTTTTTTTTAGTCAGAGTCTCAGTCTGTCACCCAGTCTGGAGTGCAGTGGCGTGCTCCCGGCCACTGCACCCTTGACCTGCTCCTTTCGCCTCAGCCTTTCAAATGGCTGGAACTACAGGTGTGTGCTACGATACCTGGCTAATTTTTTGATTTACTGTAGAGATGAAGTTTCATCAAGTTGCCCAGGACCAGTTGTCTCGAACCCATGGACTCAGACAATCCTTTCACCTCGACCTCCCAAAGTGCTGGGATTATAGGTGTGAGCCACTGCGCCTGGCCAGACCTCCAATTTTAATCAGTAGGGAGACAGATTTGAGACTGATCTCCCCTTCTCCTTGGCTAATATCACCCAATTAAAAGCCTTCTCTGGCAATACTCATCTCAGTGATTGGCTTTCTGTGCCACAAGCAACAGGACCTCAATGGAACCCCTGGTATTTCAGTCTTATCAGCTTCCACCTGAGGTAGATTCCCCTCTGGCTGTGGGGTGGCAGGCAGGAGCAGTCAAGGTCAAATACTTCCTCATTTATGTCCAGTATAGGAGAAAGCAGCAGCCGTCTGGCTTCCATGGCTCACCCAAAAGAGCAAGAAGCCCTTTCCCAGATACCCTTCCATTTCAGCTGCCCAAACTCAATCTCACATTCCTGTAACAATCAGTGTGTCAAGGGATGACCCTAAAGTGTTTAATCACAGTGGAGTCTACTACCCCATGAAGTCCAAGGAAGTGGGGAGAAATAGTAAAACCCAATGAGATTTGAGTATGAAGGAGAGAAGTGAATGCTGGATTAGCCACCAAAAATGTTCCTTCCACAGCCTGGGCAGGAAGCAAAACCTGAGGGATACAACTGAATAAATATACTCTTGTTCCTGCCTCAAGTTGTTCCCAAACTACTGAGAGGATCAGGGAATAATTTACGATGTACTGTGGGAAGGGTGAGGTCCACACAGGGGAGAAAGGAGGGGAAGGTCCCTGAGGAAGTGACCAACTGAGCCATAAAGAAGGATGGTGAGCACAGCCTGCGTTCTTGTGTGCCCAGCATCTCTCTTTCTATTGGAGAACTACCCCTTCCCCATCATATGTTGCTCTTGTCAGACTATCAAACTAGAGTGAACCCATGACCAATCAAATGCCAATCCCTTTAGCCACAAAGACTGGTCCAAGGAGTGGGCTTGTGACCCAAGCTGGACCACTTGGACGCCTCCATAAGAATGCTCTATGGATGTTGAGTGAAGAGTTTCGCTTCCTTCTGGTTCATAAGTCATAGATTATAAGGTCAGACTACCTGGCGACCTGCTTTCCTGCCACAAGGAAGAACATGCCTGAAAATAAAAGCAGAAAAGCTTTTCTCAAAAGAGTAGAGCCAGGAGTTGGAGAAAAAGCCCTGGACCCAACTATGCTTGCAGCCACTAGATCCTCCCCTGGACTTCCCAGTTACATCAGCCCACACATGTTTTCTTTTGGCTTGAACTAGTTTGCTTTGGAGTTTTGTCTTTGTAACTAAAAAAGACCTGACTAATAAAAATGAGTTTGGCAAAAAGAAAGATAAAATAAGATTCTGACCAGGCGCGGTGGCTCACGCCTATAATCCCAGCACTTTGGGAGGCCAAGGTGAGAGGATATTGCCTGAGCCCACGAGTTCAAGACCAGCCTGGGCAACTTGGCCAGACCTCATCTCTACAATAAAATAAAAAAATTAGCCGGGCATGGTGGCACATGCCTGTAGTTCCAGTTTCTTAGAAGGCTGAGGTGGAAGGATCGCCTGAGCCCAGCAGGTAGAGGCTGCAGTGGTCGTGAGCGTGCCACCGCACTCTAGCCTGGGTGACAGAGTGAGACTCCAACTAACAAAAAAAAAAAGGTTCTAAGGCCCTGCCTCCCACTAGGTACTGGACCAAGCTGCTGAAATTTTTCAGTGACTCATTGTCCCCAGGTTGCTCATAGCCTCCTCAGAGAGAAAAGACACCCACACGTGAAATGATGAGAAACCAACTATAATAATAGTGATAATGCAATTAAGTGCTCAGTAAATGTTCGGGTAGCAGCCGCTGTTCTAAACTCATCCAACTACTCCATAAAGCAAGTACTAATAACATCCCATTCACAGGTAAGGAAACTAAGAATTTAGGAAGTTATATACATTGCTTGGTCAAACAATTGAGTGGTTAAGCCAGGATTCAACCTCAGGGTATTTGACTTGCAAACAGGGCTTCTTCATTATACAACTCATTGGGGTCCCACTCCCATTACAGTCTGTGTGAATAGCACTCTCTGCACCAGGGCAGTGCCCAACCTGTTCCGCCACATGGCAGCCCTGCTTGAAGACCCTCTGCTCTTAACCACTCATTTCTATGTTTGCTAAGCCAGACCATAAGTATAGTAGGCGTTGTTGGTAGTGAGTTCCAAGAACAGAGACAGTTTTGTGGAGGAGGTGGATGAGAGCTGAGGTTCCAAACTTGGGTAGAATTGTGAGAGGAGGAAAGTAGATATTATAAATAGAAGGAAGAAGCTTCGAAGACTGACTGGGTCTGGTTCATTAGGGAAGATATTTAACTTTCAAGGATCAGTCTCGAGGACTCTAATTATTCTCTATTGCATACCTACTAACTGCCTGGTCCTGTGCCAGGCCCTTTATCTACACCTCTCATCTGATGCTCACCGTACACCTACAAGGGGAGTAATAATATTCCCAGCCTGCAGAGGACACTGAGGCTCAAAGGTGTGCAGTGCCTTGCTGAGGCTACACAACTTTGATGCTGGAACAGTTACTGAGTTCAGTTAGCAGCATCCCCGACAGAGTTCTTACGGTCATACCAGTGTCTGCTGGAGCCAAAGGAAGTCTCCTGGATGGAGTTTGGAGGAAGCTGGGTTGAGGAGGGGAGCTGAATTCCAGTACCTCAAATCTTGAATTTATTTATTTATCTCACTCGGTCGCCGGGGCTGGAGTACAGTCATGCTCCGGCCACCACAGTCTTAACCTACTGGGCTCAGGCAATACTTCCACCTCAGCCTTCCAAGTAGCTGGAAACACAGGCGCACACCACCACACCCAGTTAATTTTTGATTTATTGTAGAGACGAGGTCTTGCCAAGTTGCCCAGGCTGGTCTTGAACACCTGGGCAGAGGCAATCCTCTTGCCTCTGCCTCCCAAATTGCTGGAATAACAGGTATGAGCCACGGTGCCCAACTTATTATTTATTTGTTTGTTTATTGAGTTGGAGTCTCACTCCTTCGCCCAGGCTGGAGTGCAGTGGCACACATGCTCATGGCCACCCCAACGTCAACCTGCTGGACTCCAGCGATCCTTCCGCCTCAGCCTTCCAAGTAGCCAGAACTACAGGCACACGCTACCACGCCTGGCTATTTTAAAAATTGTATTGTAGAGACGAGGTCTCACCAAGTTGCCCAGGCTGGCCTCGAACCTGCGGGCTCAGGCAATCCACTCGCCTCGGCCTCCCAAAGTGCTGGGATTACAGGCTTGAGCCACCGTGCCTGGCCTATTTTTATTTTTTGAGTAGGATCTTACTCTGTCACCCAAGCTGAGTGCAGTGGCATGCTCACAGCTACCACAGCCTTGACCCACTGGGCTCAAGTGATCCTTCTGACTCAGCCTTCCAAGTAGCTGGAACTACAGGCACATACCACCATACCTGGGTAATTTTTAAAATTCATTGTAGAGATGAGGTCTCACTAAGTTACCCAGGCTGGTCTCAAACCGCTGGACTCAGGCAATCCTCTTACCTCTGCCTCCCAACGTGCTAGGATTACGGGTGTGAGTCACTGTGCCCCACAAATCTTCAATTTTATTTTATTTATTTTTTAATTTTAAAGATGTGGAATACAATTCAGGGTTAGTTATATGAATGTTCATTATACAGGTACCCTTGTTGATGAGGTGTACCCTCTCCTCACCCGGCAGATTCCCACTACTGCCAATCCCACCTACCCCCACCCAGCAGTTTCCCACTACTGCCAATCATTTTCTTATAGTATTATGATAATTGCTGAAGGTCTGCTTATGAGTGAGAAATGTGATACTCAGTTCTTTTTTTCTGTGATAGATCACTCAGTATTATAGACTCTAAGTCCATCCAAGTTGTGAAATTCATAATTTTGAAGAAAAAAAAAGAAATTCATAATTTTGTCCTTCTTTATGGCTGTGTAATATTCCATAATCTTCAATTTTATTATTTTTTATTTTTATTTATTTTGAGTTGGAGTCTCACTCTGTCGCCCAGGCTGGAGTGCAGTGGCCACTCCCGGCCACTATAGCTTCGACCCGCTGGGCTCAGGCAATCCTTCCGCCTCCGTCTTCCAATTAACTGGAACTACAGGTGCACACTACCACAGGCAGCTAATTGTTTGGGGTTTTTTAATTTATTTATTTATTGTAGAGACA